ACTACAAATTCAGAAACTATGAATTGCATTTTACAGGTTCTGCCTACCTCGTCTAAAATTCGCATGTAAATTTATTTTTACTTTCTTTGATGGGACCCCGAGGGTCTTTAATAAAAAAAATATTATTACACCTTTTTAAAGGCAGCACTAAAGTCTGAGATTCTACCTACTATCAATTAAAAAGGAAGGTTGGAGGCACAAGATTTAGTCCTTAAAGTAGCTCTTTGGGTGATAAAAAAGGGAATCCCTGAGGCTCTTGGTAAACACTCAAAATTTACTGAATGACGCTCAAGAAGTAGGTGGGGCTTTTGAAAAATGAGAGGCCTTCCCCTTAGGACCGCTGGTTATGTAAAACGCAGAGATGGCGTATTAATAATGTAAAGGTCTAAAGATCTTCGCTTAATGCACGCCGCTCAAAAAGGAACTGTGTCACACGAATCAGCATGCGCCTTTTTCACACAGAGGGTCGTTCGCCGATGTAATCCCTTGCCGACGGATGTTGATGTTTCCCCTACCTTGAGTGAGTTCTAGAGTCAGCTCAGTAATCGCCTGCAGATAGGCAACCTGAACTACCGAAGTCCAATTAAGCGGCCTGCCGAAATGACAATAAACAAAATAATAAACGGATTTAAAATAATCATTTTTGACTTCTGCGGAAATTTCGATATAACGATTGAAGAGTCAGTTGGCGAACATATGTTTTCGGTAACTCATCATCTGGCAGATAAACATACATGGGTAATGATCATTCTTATTGTAGACAGGATATAAATGCGTCTCAGTGGTAGGGTTAATCGGAATCCATGTTCCCACGCCGCACGCATAACGAAGTCAGCGTTTTGAGGACGGTGGAGTTGGATAGGGGTTCCGGTTAGATTGTTTGCGCTGTGAGTGCGTGTGACTGCTCTCAGGGCGTCAGAACGGCGTGCGATCACCGTCTGGAGTCGGCCAAGGCAGACAGACTGCTTGTGCCAGCGCCTTCTGACAACCGAGTGTTGGGTTCGCTAGTCGAATGGCCAATGCTTCGGATGTGGCAAGCACCCGTTTACGCAGACCTTTAGAGTAGTGTGCCGGTGCCCCATAGATAACTTTAAAGGCTTCTTTAGCGTCAATTTGGTGGGTCGTATCGATTAGATGTGCGAGAATCGAACTCGAAATCAATCGATTTTCATCTCTCCCTAGCCAGGCAGGTATGTGTTCGCGTATTTTCTTTTCCAGACTCCTCGTTGTACGGCCAATATATCCCTCTCCGTAGGAGCAGGTGGATGAACAAATACACATGGATGTGGCCTTTAACGGCAACCGGTCTTTGTCCCCTAACCGTATTAGGGGGGAGTTTGCGAAGAATACGCGCAAGTTGACCGCGGGGAAAGGCAAACGCGAGAGCTGTCCTAAGACGTCGTCTTACTAATTCGCTTGCTGCGTCTCCTAGAAAAAACAGTCTTAGCAATAAGCCTTTCTTTTCTGCAGCTGCAACGACAGGTTTTGTGGCACGCTCTCTAATATTCCGGTGGATAAATCGCTCCGGATGGCCGTTTTCGCGGAGCGTGTTTTGCAGTTTCCGGAGTTCTGCTTCAACAGTGTCAGGAGTACAAATGCGTCGCACTTTAGCCGCTAGTCCCTGAACTAAATCTCGTTTTAGATTTAAGGGAACAAAACTGTGAAAATTAATGTATTGTAACGTCCAGTTTTTCTTTCTGAATATTTTGTGTTGGATGGGTCCATCCTCTTGTATGTATAGAAGGACACAAAGGAACGCGATCTCGTTATTCGTCTCGGTCTCTGCAGTAAAAATCAGAGAGGGGTGCGCCCCGTTAAACTTCTGAACTAGGCCATTGATGTCGGTGGTATGACTTGTCAGGCAAAAGATATCATCCACAGAACGACCGTAGAATTTAAGGTCATTAATGGTGTCTTTGAGACTCGTTTGCTCGACCTTGCTCATGAAGACATTTGCGAGAAACGGTCCAAGCGGTGAAGCCATTGCCACACCATTAATTTACCTGTATAGCTGGCCAATTCAGAGGAATCGGACATTTCGTGTGCATCGCGTAAGTAGTTCATTTACGGTCTCCACTGTCATGCCTATAGGTAAATTTATTTTCCTGATGTAGTCGACCAGGAAGTCTATTGTCTCCACTACGAGTACGTCGGTGAACAGTGATGATACATTTGACGACTAGCGAATCCAACACTCGGTTGTCAGAAGACGCTGACACAAGCAGTCCGTCTGCCTTGGCGGACTCCAGACGGTGATCGCACGCCGTTCTGACGCCCTGAGAGCAGTCACACGCACTCACAGCGCAAACAATCTAAATGGGACCCCTCTTCTTCTCTTCCTCCCACCCCACCGTCCTCAACACGCTGACTTCGTTATGCGTGCGGCGTGGGAACATGGAGTGCGATTAACCCTGCCCCTGAAGGACATTTATATCCTGTCTACAATAAGAATGATCATTACCCATGTAAGCGTATCGGACTGATAATGAGTTACCGAAAATATATGTTCGCTAGCTTTGATCCTTTTTGTGCGTTAAGCTTGACTCATATGGAAATTTTCACAATGCGAATGCACTGAAAATTGTTTTTCACGACTATTTTGTAAATGCCATATTTTTTAGCATTTTTGTTCTGCTATTAGATCTTTACATTCTACTCACTAAATCTCAGTGCACAGTTTTTGCAAGTTAACTATTTTCCCTTACACTTGTGTCATCTAAATGGAGTTTTCAGGGCTTCTGTCGTTTACTTCAAATATACTGACTGATACTGACCGATTAACCTAACCCTTCTCCCTGGAGTTTTTGGTAAATGTTAGGAGACCATTTAAGATCACTAAGACTGGGATGTGGCACAAACTTAGATAACTTCGTTGTATAATTAGCCGCAACAAAACTCTAATTTTGCCCATTGAAACTTCGCCCTAAAGAGTCAGGGCCGAATGTGTTGTGGTACTTCTTCCTTCTTTGATGGGCTTCATTACGTAATGACCCCCCCAAACAGATGTTGTCAGGGCATTATCTGGGCGGAATCTACGAAAAGGTTCTTCACCTAGGCGCATCTTCTGAACTAGGTTTGTGTCTGAACGTCTCTTGGTGTTTTTATACTTCGGTGGCCGATTCCCGCCTGACTTAAAAAGACGTCGAAATAATCAGAGTGGATGGCAAAATTATCAATGAACAGTTTATAAGTACATATTTAAAACCATAGCATGCGGCCTAGACCAAAGCAGGAACAACGAAGACGTCCGCAACATTAGGAATATTTTATATTCTGCAGTAATTCATGTCGCTACCAGCCAGGAAAGTGCAAGAATGAGCAGTCCTTTGCATAATGGTGAGGATTTACTATGCGGACCCACTGAGGGACAGAGCTTAGGGACTCCTGTAATACGGCAGGCATTTTGCTGTTTGTTTTATCTATAGGGTGTATGGACGCGGCTATTAACGCAATCTGCGGAAGGGATAGAGAAAACTTGAAGTTCTATTGTAGGCCTGCTTCGTTACTCCAACGAGGTACCAGGCGGGCCGCGGATTTGAAAAATGCAAATTAGTGCGTACTATACGGGCGGAAATCAGGAAACCAAAAATAATTGCCAAAGACTGGATAGGGCAAGATTATACGGAGCAGAAAAACCCTCCTCCGACCGCAACCTCGCACCTAACCCCAACCATAAATTTGGTTATTTTTTAAGCTAGGCCGAGACGTTACCCTAATATAACGTGTCTACCCAAATCAAGTAAGCAGACATGTTAGAGCACTGGAAATAAAGGACTTGCACACCCATTTGTCACCCACCTGCCGCCCTGGACTTGTCGCGGGAAAAAGTGAAGGCGTAGACGACTGCTCTAGAAGTTACTCAGGGGAAACTTATTAGCAGTCCTTGTTTTCCCAAGTGCACATTCACGAAACTTTCCATCTTTGGCTTCCACCCACTTTGACGATCAGGCTGTACGTCCATGTGAGCTCACAAACGACCCAGACAATCAGCTGTAAGAACAAGGAACGATGGGGGGGAGACTCATTACACAGGTAGGATCTCTGAAGGACCGTCTTACATTGAAAATTTCAAAAACGGCAAATTACGGACATACTTTTTGGCATTCGATTGAGGACATTATGGGCTGCAGCCTATTCACTGATATCCTGAAGATACCAGAGGCTCGAGGAACCTCGTTGTCATCACGCACACCACAATTTTACGCGAGAAATGTCATCCTGACGATTCAAAAATAGCACGATTATGATTGTGTGTTATTTATTCCCCAATTTATCAGACACCGATTAGCCTCTCGATACATGCTCTTACAAGGGCTTTCATTGGATCCAGAAACCCAAATGAGACCGCCTTCGCTTTGACCGCCCATGCTTTTAACAAGGTAAATACAAATTGCGTATGTTTTCTTGAGCAATGATAAATATTTGGAAGCCCTAAACGGTGCAGTCTCGACTATGGAAACACTTAGGCGAAAAAATCAGTGAAGAATGACTCAGGCGAATACGTGTTTATCTTGCATTAGGCCGCAACTCCCGAAAGTATGTAGACGGACATCTATTCATAAATTAATTAAATAAAGTCACATCTTTGGAAGGAAGTGGTAATGGCTTGAAACCTATCATTATTTAATATGCCAAGAGGTGTTCGCTCCAAACACTCATAAAATGAGAAAAACCTCTACACAAATATAGTATCAATGATATAATTAATGCGGACTCTTCCGGTCGATAACAGGGAAGAGTTACAGAGGCCTTCTCAATTTAAGGAGTTGCGTACATATAATGCCGTCAAGTAATTGTGTACACTTGTAGCATTAACAAAATGCCATAAGAATATAATAATGAGTGGCCTTAATCGCTCGGCAGGAGTCTATCCATAGAAAATAAATGCCAAGAAAAAGCTTTGGAAAAGGTACAGGGATAATTATTGTACAAGGCGCACAGACTTAAAAAAATAATAGAGAATGCAAGAGAAGATGAGCATGACAGCGGCGCGATCAAAATCAGCTCTTCAAAAGTCCTAAAATACAGAAAAGAAAGCAAGTGGGTGACAGAAGGGTATAATGGAAGGTGAACAACGATTATTTCTGCCCCAAAAGTCACTCTTGTAATAAGTAGTCGAAAATGGCCGCTGGTCATTAGGTCAGTCTTCTTCTTGAAGTCACAGATTCGATCAGAGCGGAATACGCACCTCATGAAACCAGGCCTCAGGTGAGATGACCCAGGCTTTAACGTGGCTGCCTCGCCCTATGTGCAAAAAGGCTGACAATTATTTTCCTTCTAAAAGGGTTGCAGCAACTACCAGTCCTATTACTACTGATTGATTTACCATATCTGAAAAATCGGAACTAGCTAAAAGCTCAGACACCTGCTTCGACTATGTTGTACAACCACATGAAGAAGCTGTCAGGGGTCCAGCTAATCACGGAGCCCCCAAGCGTTGTCCATGTAATATGTACACTCTTTTGTTTCCCCAGAAAGTATGTCGCAAACTTGGAGATTCTTCGGCACAGTCCCTCTTATTTTCGGCCCGAAAACTGGCGGGAATATCCTATGACGATCGGGTATGTGGCCCCACAGAGAAAAGGGGAGGCATTGTAGCAATAGGGTTTCAATGGGTGGGGTAAACGAAATTGGCATATAATTGTTTTCGGGAAGTAAGAGAAAAAAGTTTCATTTACGTTACTAGGTTGTTTAAGCACACCGATAAAGCGTAAAAATGAAAAAACGTTGACAGTTAACCCATAAACGTAAGCCGAATTAGACGTGACGCGGAATGAGCGAAAGGCAAAGCGTGTTAAATCAAGCCTGCGCAAATGACATAAGTAGGTATTCCGCACAAGAAAAGGCCGGGTGGAGCCACCTACCCGATCGTCACCGAGTACTTGAGCTGGAATCCTTCAGCTTCTTCAGAATAGACGGGTCATACTCAATTCCTCTCCAGAGGTAGTCAGTAGTACATAAATGCTGATTGGTCTACCATAGCCATGGTAAAGATGGTACTTCAAAACACACCCTTCGAACCGAACTTAAGAAGTTTTGTGTCAGAAAACTGGTTCCAGATTCACACATAAATTTTTGAGGAAATTTTTGAGAAAATAATAAATCTACCACTGCTTCTTCCTAGAGAAAAATAAGCTCAACTGTTATGGCCCGGCCTGGTACTTAGAATTTAAGTGGAGTTTATGCGCACTCGACAGAGAAGAACATAACCGGTAGAGAAGGACATAACCGGCCACGAAAAAGTGTATCAGGAAACTACAGGTTAAGTCTAACTAGGAAAGTAACGCGTATTTATAACACCCTACTGGGGTTCGCCTACATTCGGCCCAACGCACTTCGGGAAGAACATTCTACAAGAGCTGGTTGATAATTGGTTACACGGATCGATCAGACTCGAGGGGAGCAGCCAATGGAGAGGCGCCACGATTATGCTGACAGCGCGGTAGAGAAAACGCACGTGGCCTCCAGTGATTGGTTGGCTGTTGTTTTTGGGAGTGTAGGCACTCCCAACATCAACACACTCGGGGGTCACCGCTGATAGTTTAAAACAGATATACATCGTAGATATGACAGCTAGTAAAAACCAGTACTCCAATAATCCCGGAGGATTAGCAGAGGTAGAGACCAAAAATAAGTGAGAGGGGAGTCGTTAGGGCAGGGGACTAAGGTGGCCATGCACCAAATTGCAATGCGGTTAGGGTTAGAATTGGAGTTATGGAGGTCAATGTTAGGATTAGGACTTGGAGGTTGAAGGCCAGCGTCAGATTTAGTGGGGACGAGGAAGTATGTACCTCCCGCTTAGCATCCAGCGTAAGGCAACGTGTAGAAAGGGAATGCCCTTATACTCCTGCGTTCAACAGCAGAATTCATACACAGATACGGTTTAGTGACTACGGCCGTTAAGTGACAAGATGATTGATTTTCGGCCAACGCAAGTTGGGGACAATAAGAAGTGTTTTTCGAGACGTTTGAGGGAAATCTCTTTGCCTCGTGCATCCTTGGCTGTACCGACGATTCGGCAAGAACAAGATCTATCAGTATTGGCCAAAGATTTGTCATACAGACATCTTACAATGATTTGCTGGAAAATGGTGTCTGACACAATGACTGCTTCGTTTAAGAACAAACGTCAACACTCGAGCAAGGATAGGCGTACCTTCGTGGACAGTGTCAAGATGCCTCTCTAGAGTTCGCTTTTCGGCGAAGGCTTTGCCACAACTCTCGCATGCATGCGCTCGGAGGCCTGAAAAAGAAACAAAGCCTTTGTTCTCGCGGAGAGCGGTAGAGGGCACTCCTATTGGCTGCCTCCAAGAGGGATAGTGTAAGCAAACTGCCGAGATCTTGGAAAGCAGCTCCGTGGTTGTAGTCCTGTCGGTGGTAGAGAGGGGCCTCTGTATGACTGCTGGTTGGGCTCGAGAGAGGGCCCCAAGGCACAACCGGACAAGTGCGTTCCGTAACACGATCGCTGAGCGCCCCTTCTACCAGTGCATATACCCTGTCGCAACCAACGGGACAAAGACCCCGTGGCTCAGTGGTTAGGGCGTTGAACTAATCAACAAGTCTCAGGATCGAGTCCTAGGTGTCCCACACTTCGGGGTCAAGTATGGCTGGCTGGCTGGCGATGGCCAATAGAGCAGAAATGGCCATTCCGGTCTCCCTTATTTTTTGCCGGTAATGTTATTCTGCCTGTATTCCGCCCCTCTGTGCGGCTGCTGGTTGGGCTTGAGAGAGAGCCCCGAAGTACAACGGCACGAGCAAGTTCCGTAGAAGCGATTGGTGAGCGCTCCTCTACCATATCAGGCATTCAGTTTAAAGCACTCCACAAGATAATAATGAATGCCGTAAGCGTCCCCAATAGCCACGTCGTTGTTTTCAAAGCAATCATAATCTCCATTTTTTGTGATTCTGTTCACACAAACGCAACCTATTTCTTTGTTTCAGCAAAAGCTAGAAAATTCCGGTCTGGTTGAAAATTGTTCACACAATTCGCAAAAACTTCTCAAAGTGATTTTCATATTTTTCTGCATTAAGGGGACTGTCTGTTTAGAACGATTCTTGGAAGTTCCTTACACAACTTCCGAATTCTGTCTTTTGATTTTTGAATAAGCCAGTTCGTCCTGCTTTTGGGGCTCGTCTGTAAGGTCCGACAGTGTCTACTTATAAATCTCTTCGCCATGTCTGCAGACACATGCGTGCGGCTGTGGACAGCGCAATTCAACAAGGACTGTTGGCCTAAAAAGGAAGTCAACCGCATAAATTAAGAACCAGGAATCCGAATGTTTTCCTGGATGTTCAACTGCTTCCTAGAGGCGGGTACAAATGCTGATTCTATGGCAGAGAGACTAGATTCCTCGACTGGAAGGCAGAGCCTACACTAACACCATCTAAGCGTCCCATTCCCTTAGTGAACATGCAGTTTAGACAGCTTGGTCTTAGCAGGATGTATGTAACTTCCTCCGGGGACGTGGTTAAGGTCGCTTGATCAGATGAACGCTTTTGATCGACCGTCCTCATTTGGCGCAAATCTACTGTGGGTGCAATAACGTGGCTAAAAAGTAGACGGTTCTCCAGTACCTGAGCTAGGAAAACTGATTGTCATCTTATTCTGGATTAGCTAAGTATAAAAACTACCAGGGCAGTTTTCTAGAGACAGATGAGACAAGTCGCCGTCGTCGTCGAAGTCCCATATCATCATCACCACCTCCTCTTCAGTATGAAGATATTCCCATCTGACTTACTGACAATTGCTCTATCATTCTCACTTCTGGATCTGGATAGCAAAAAGGGACAAAATACACCTATCGCGCCATCAACGACGCGGAGGTTTTGTCCATTATGCCTCAGTATGCCCGTCAGATAATGATCGCCCATGGAATAGCTATAAAACGGCATAATATTTTCACTGACTAAGATCGCCGCCTAACGCTATGCCTTTCGACGAATCCACAAAGAAAGTGCCATGTTCGGCCTCTAAGTTATTCAAGTCTCTCCACCTTCGCAGATCAGTGTACTGCCTTGGACGTTTAAGTTCCGGCTTCATTCTTCTCTTATACTGTGCCGTGGCCCAATTCTCTGTTTATTAAAATGAATATTGGGGGAGTACACACAGGTATTGCCGAAAAACGCGAGAGACGCAGGGGGCGCCATCAGCCAGTAGTAACCCAATGGCAGGCGCATCCAATCACAGCCGACAGAGGGTAAGTCGGGTAGCCCACGCGGTAACGGCGATCAGACTGTATGCTCATGAGCCGGCTGCATCCACTCAACCCACTTAAAACTCCAGAAAAACCATCGCCTGTCGTTAAACAGTGACTATCTACGACGGCCAACAAGTCAGAAATGGTCATTCCGGTGTCCCTCTTCCTTGCCAGAAATAATTTTTTTTAATTTTTGATAACTAATCACCATGCGATTCGGCCAGAACGAAACCGACAATGTTTCTTTGCGTTCTGCAATAAGGATAGATCATTAGTGCACGCCAGTCACATATGATTGAATACTTCAGCCAGCATGACACAAAACCATCATTGCGACGGTAAGAACACTTCTCGATTGTCAACTGACGCAGGCACGAACCCCGGGGTATGCAGCCCGGGATAGGGGTATAAGTGACCAATGAAGACAACAAGAACTCAGAAATGGCCACTCCGCTGTCCATTGTCTTCATCAGCAAAAGACTTTTCAAACATTGATTGCTGGTCGCAAAGCTGAGATGCCGATTTCCGTTATACAGTCAGGATAGCTTGATGCATGCCACACTCATGTGACTGAGACAACCTCGGCAGTAGTTGTCATGCAACTGGTACATCGGACGCTATACACGCTACGCTGTAGTTGGAAGGAATTCCACAGAAGTCATTCGCCAAGCCTATAGAATGTTTAAAGAAAAGATATCGGCCCAAGGAGCATCGGCTGACAGCGAATTAAAGTCATTCAACCATAATTGAGCATCATCGTACCCCAGGCCGAACTTCAGTGTAGTGAAATCCACCCGTCCTAGTCCTCGTTAACACTTAGGGGGATTTAAACATAAAAAAATAAACCGGGAGAACAGTGATGGCCTGCATGTAAGTCGATATGTGGAAATGTGTCTGTGGGCGCACTAGCTACTGTGACATCATCCTTCATCTACGCCCGCTACACACCGGCTCGTTAATCGTTTCAAGCGAAACAGTCTGTTGTAGATCACTTGCCAGAATAAAGGGGCTACAACCAGTTGGTCGGGGTTATTTGATCAAAAATCGAGTCAGATCCACCGCACTCTCTCCGCAGTCCGGCACCAGGAATCCATGGCAAGACCGACTGGAGACGGCGGACAGAAAAAGACTCTATGAGGAAACCAATGAGATAGAACATGAGGGCGTTAAATAACCGAAAGGGAAAAACGATAAGCGAAAGGTTGCGTACGTTTGTGAATGCCGTTGATATGCCTTTTCAGGGATCCTTTCTCAGCGAATGCCTTTCCACAAGTCTCACACGTATAATCTCGTAGTTCTAAAAAGGAAACAAAGAACCCCGGTTTTAGGAGTGGATAACGTTCCTCATGGAGTGCTTTAAAACTATTAGGTAAGAAATCCTCTGGCCCATCTAACGAACCTCTGCCTAAAGTGCCCCATCAAATTTTGAACCAAGCTTTTGTTGCAATGTCCTCAACAAATCCCCACAACGCTTTCAATAGGAGGTTGATAACCTGATTCAGGCGATGCCTGAGATCGGAGTTACATGACGTTTCTACTCTCCTGAGGCTTAACTATTAGTCGGCCATATCGCCGATGCTGCGTTCCAATGGCTTATGCAGGCGGTACTAGTTAACTCACACTCTGACCGTACTTTGGAGAGCTCGTGTATTTCTGAAAGTGCTCCGTATTAAGATCGTGTGTGAAAGCGAAATGTATCAGAGACCTTTAGACTCCATAATAGAGGAAAAACCATGGCATCGCTGTTAAACTAGGAAACTCCTAGCAGATTCATAAGTGCACGGATCCGAATACTATGATGTCAAGTACGCAACTAATCAGCTAAAGTGTGCTCAGGTCACTTCGTTTTCCCAGGCAGGATTGAGAAGCGAAGCTTAGCCGCTATGCTGGCGACCGTACGCTGAAAATGTAAAAGCTAGAGGGAGCGGCTGTGCCTTTCCCCCAAACCAAATCGGTGACGTACCGCTCTCAAGAGACCCAACGCACGATAATTTACCCTAACTGGGAGAAGTTAGCGGAGGCTGGGTTAGCTTATTACAGTTCATATACGCGGAACAACGCTACGTGGAAGGACGTCCGACTCCTATGATAAAAGCATAAACGCATACAGTGAGTGACCGACCTCATGAAATGTTGACTGAAATTCTAAAATGTGACTTCGATTAGGAAGGTTTACTTAGGTGGTGTTGAAACACTCATTATCATGGGAAATAGGCCTGATATATTTCGGACTTGACAGAATGTCAGCTTTTAAATGTTCTACATTTTAATCTTCTGCAGAAACCGCACTCAGTAAAAAATGACTACTTGAGTAGCCTGAATTTTTTACAATGATTTTCGATGGCCTTCAAAATTCAAATATATTTTATAGAAATCCGAACAAAAATATGCTTTCTTTCAGTAGTTTGACAGACAATCACATCGTCTTTAGATTCGATATTTGACAAAAGGAGTACAATTAGGTTTTTAAAATTTGTCTAATTCCCGAATAATTTGGAGCCTGATCAGCCGTTGCATTAGCGGTTAGTGATTTCAGTCTACAAGGCTCATGTGTTCCCCGTAAAAAAATCACATATTCTTCTATGTCTTTAAACAGATACTATATAGGATCCATAAAATTTTGCAGTGGATGCGGACCATGTTGTACATTTCATGAGCAGTGGTAAACAGACAGGTACGATGCTGTATGAATGGACATTGCAACATTAGAAACTTTTTCAAAACCTAATTATACTCCTTCTTCGAGCATAAAATAAAGAGTCGACGCGGTTCTCTATCAAATAACTGAAAGAAAGTATAGTTTTATTCGTGGTTTCTATACAATATATTTAAATTGGCAAGACTATCGAAAATCAATAAGAAAAATGCATGCCAATTAAGTAGTCATTTATTTCCGAATACGGTTTCTACGGGAGATTTAAAAACAGTGCACTGGAAAGCTGACGTCCTGCCGAGTCCAAAATATTATAAAATTATGCCACAAGAAAATCAGTTTCGCATCCGCGCTTAAGTAATCCTTCCTAATCGAAAAAGCATCTCAGAATTTCAGCCAACATTTCATGAGATCGGTCATTCACTGTAGGACAACGACGTTCTTACAGCGTTGAAAGTCTGTTTCCAAAAGTTGAATCTTGAATTTACGTTGTGTTCGAACAAAAAATTCTCCACTTCGTACTCTAGACAGAATGTTTGCTAACTATCCTCTTTTGCTCACACGTTTTAATCGGTACAGACAAAAAAGCAGCTGATAAAGTCACTGTAATTATTCCATCCAAAATAACTATTTGTTGAAATCAATAACTCTTACGTTTTTAAAGTCAGTAGTACGGTAGTTGTGATAAAGCAAAAACCGCACAAGCGTACTTCAGCGAAAAATGCAAACATGAAGAAGTCAAAAAAATATGAAAAGGGGAAATGGAACGATAAACTAGTAATAAAAAGGGAACCTACTTTTGTGGATACCATCGATATGATTCTTCAGGTGTGCAACCCGCGAAAACGCTTTACCGCAAATTTCACAAGCATATTCTCTCAGCTCTGGAATGAAGATAAAGGCGCCAGATTTGGTTAAAGTGTTAAGGTGCACGAGACTCGCGTCGAACTTCCACAAACGAGACTCAGGAACCTGTAGTAGTTGCCAAATTCTTAGAGGTACCCTACACAAGGGAAAGACACGTTGCCTTCCTAGATATAACCGCTCGACATAGAACACCCGCCAGCGTCCAAAAACTTTAAAGGCAAAACCTTTTCCTTAGGTACCGAGAACATCATACCGCAGGCCAAAGAATCGTTTTGTTTGCTCAATGGACCATTTCAAGTCAGACTACGAACTGCCTGTTTTTTCGTTTCAAATGAGACGCTGACGTCTAACCTACGACAACAGGATGGGATGCATAGATTAAGCATTGAAAAATGTGAGCAGATTGCTTTAGCCGGCTGTTTACGATTTGATATCTCCTCACAAAACTGTCCCATTCGAGACAGCCAGAACACCACAATGTGCGCTCGTCTTCCGGGTATACACACCGGCATTCATAAGTCGTCAGGAAGATCAGACGGACAAGTAACGGACACACGCAGATCCTTCTGATAGTTGATATGTCGCGATATGTCCACAGAGACTTTTAAGGGCCTCAAGAATTCATTTAACGGTGTAAGTCAGTGTAATGGGCGACAGGACGCATCAAAGGCCTGATCAAATATTAAGCTGTTATGCGAAAGTATTGTGGACAAGAACTTGGAGAGCGGATAAGTGAAAGAGCGACAATTCGTGACAGCACACCACCTTGTTCCAGAACGATTCGTGAAAACGTATCCGGACGCCGACAAGAGGTCGAAAGAGAAGATGGTGATTGACAGGTCGTAGTTGCGATCTCCGGCTCTGAAAACCGTCTTCCTGTCGCCTTTCAGAAACCGCCTGCAGATGACAATGACACAATCAATTGCAACAATGTCCATGAAATCGATATGGCCGTAATTCCCGCAGTTCAAGTTACGTTCCCCAAACTCAAAGAATTCAGGCGCAGTCCCAAAAGGAACACATGACGCAAGGCGAAAAATGCAGCCAATTAGCTCATCAAACTTGAACAGGATATCTGCGAGCGGATTCTACCCTTGACAAAACGACGACTACATTAGCGGACAGCAACATAGATCGCCAAAATCCAAACAGCCGAAACGCTGTGCGCCTGTTTTGTGATGGATCACGAAGGCGGATGGTGCCAAACACACAGGATTGGTGCCTTTGTCATCGGTGAGTTCAGTTGTTAGTACGTTGGCGGTACAAGGTATCCTCCAAACTGGTTCCAAACAACTTCCGAATTCCCCTAACAAAGTTCCCCATATTAGATGAGACAATATCGCAAACATATTGCAATTTTTTGGCAATTTTGGTTCAGTTTTTGCTCTCTGAAAACATTCTGCAGTGCATCTTCTTGTGTTCAATTGAGGAACGCCTTAAGGAAAAATCACACGGTACAGACATGATCGCGCCTGGTCCAATCGACCTTGCTCATGAGGTTTCTTGGAAATTTTCTGCGCAGGCGAGATCCAAACGGTCGGTCGAATTGTTTATTACAAGTTATTCCCTCTAGCTCTTCGGTTAGTGTGGTGACAAGAAACATTTCGTGGCGGTCCACGACTGCTGTATCACTGTGTCGTCATCCGGCTTTGCGACGTTCAGAAGAAAAGAGCAGGACAAACAGTTCTACGGAGAAAGTTCACGTGGTAGGAAAACAGATCCGTTCATAGAGATGAAATATAAACTAGACAGTAAGAAAGCGCGTACTTTTGTGGATACTGTCGACATGTCTCGCCACATCTCTTTTCTGTAGGAAGCCTTGGCCACAAATCTCACAGGCATATTCTTTCAGCACTAAAAATGGAGTTTTAAAAAACATCCTGAGTAATATGGTGAAGAAGACAGGCAATACTTGTTTTACTGCACTTTTTGCAGTCACAATGAGGGAAAGAGGGCATCAAATCAAAAGAGGCACCAGAGGATAAACAGCGAGCAAACAAACAAAAAGATCTACGACACTCAGTATCAGAACTGCATGTAAGCACATGCGAAATCCGACGGACACTGGGCGATAGCCTCCTAACAGTCCAGAGGAATGTGTGATTGTCCTTAGATGGAAAGTTCACAGCATATGAACTGGAAAACCCACCTGTAATAGGGGACAGGTGGTAATGGGAGGTTTTACATGTGGGGCCGGGGGAACGCACAGGCGACTAGGCCAAGTAATTGTATGTAAAACAAAGGTTGTACTTTGAGTGACTGAGAAATAGTTGCCTTAACCCTAATCTAAACTCCAACAGTATTGTGTGCATCAGGTGGGACTACATAACCACATCTTACTGAAACCCTAAACGCAATTACAATAGTAAGCAGGATTGAAAATATCTCGCGGTTGCCACATGCCGAGGCATCCGCAAAGCGCGTCCCATCACAACACATGAACGCCATGTTTGTGGCGGGTAGTTTGGTCTACAATTTGTCCCCTAAGGAGTCTGAAGGAATGGGACAGGACAATTTACGACATTCTGTGCCAGCGATAGGAGAGCGCCTCCCCCCCCCCCTCTACCATTCTATATACCCGATCGCAACCGACAGGACAACGAGCCCGTGGTTCAGCGGTTAGAGGAAATGAACTACTAACTAACAGGTCGCGGGATCGAGCCCTAGTAATTGCACACCTCGGGGTCGGGTGTGGCTGGCTGACGACGGCTAATAAGCCGGAAATTGTTATTCGAATCTTCCTTGTCTTTGTCGGTCACGCTGTTTTGCATATGTTCTTTTTTCAGGCGGACAAGGCTACGGAGTGAATTCCTATCGGAGTAGGTATAATCGGGAGAAAGTCAACTCGCGTGGAGGACGACGGACAGGAAGAGCGATCAGAGCTCAGAAGACCGACCACCTTCAGGACTTATTCACACACGCTAGAAGTCACGCATCAAACATGCAATCGACAGGTCCCACGTCTCTACGCAGAGGTTAATGGAATCGACAGTACCCAGGCAGAATGGCATATCCTTCAGCTGACCTTACCATAAAAGTGTAGATGGTTCGCGATCTTAGCCCCCTATGCGTGGCTGACAGCTTATACCCAGCGTCAGTCTAACCATTTAACTTTTTTCCAACAACCTCGGCATATGTGGCTACTTGTAGCTCGAAAGTCAGGCTAAGGAACAGTAAACAGACTTCAATCATCTTCGACTGCTTTTACGTCTTGCATATGCTTTTGTAGAAACGAAACGCATCACATTTTGGTGCTGAAAAGCATAAGTACCACTTTCCAGTCTGCGCCCTTCCTACGACGTGATTAAAGGTTCTCTTCTTCTTGTCTAGACTGTCATGTCGCCAGTGAGGATGTAGGAGGTGCGATGTCGGTCGATGATTGGGCCTACGTGCCTTATAACTGCCGCTTGTCCTGTTTCTGCCACTACCTCTGACGATGGACTCCTGTACGAGTCTGAAAGCTCAGGATAATAAACGAATTGTTCCGGTGCCCGATTCTTCTTCTTCTTCTTCTTCTTCTTCTTCTTCTTCAAATATGCATACACCTGGAACTCGAACTTTCGCCTTCATTCGTAGGAGGTATCTTCCACTTTGCACCTCTTCACAGAACCAGTGTTGACTGCAGAGAGTGACAATGAGAGTCGCGAACGTTATAGAAATACTCGTCTGAAGACCGCAATTTTATTTGGTCTCTTCTTCTGTTAGAGAATTAACATAAGATCCGGCGAATGCGGTAAGAATGAATGCACCATAAGGGGATTTGCGCCAGCCGTGGGTTTCCTCGTTGCATCATGTTCGGTCCTGGTGAGTCAGTACTTCCCGTGATCTGTGAGCTATGATATCTGATAAGGTTTCTTGTTTCGACCGTCGCTTCAATCTAACTGAGGAAAGACTCTGCTGCTCTGATCATGTCGATAAGTAGCTGTGCAGTCCCCTTAACGACGAATTCCGGATCAGTTTGCGGAACTTGTTCTATAGTGGTGCATTGCACATGGTATCCCGTTCACAAGCTCGTTCAGTCCCACTCTGCTGAAGCTTATCTTGTACCACTCTCGCCTGTAAACTTAAAGTATCTGGTGTAATCTTAGTCAGTCCTCTTACGAGAGATTATTCGGAGGTGCATTCGGATCATAGGCCTGTAGTGTTTAATTACTATTGTCACCCCACCTATTTATTTTCGGGGAAGGGGGTGGTTGAGTGGGACGCAAATCGGGCGAAAGTAAGTGCCGATACGTTTGTGCAGAAATCGAGTCTGTCGTTCGGAAGGGCTTATCGAGGAACTCATCGGAGTGTTTCGCGCCCACCGAAAGTTCCGGCAAGTGTAATATGCGAGTTCCAAGAGGCGATGGCAAGAAGGAAACTAGAAAACTGGAGCAATAATTTTCTACCTGCCTGACGGTTCTGAGCTCAGAGTCTAACCCATCATCACAGGAAGTTCCAGATAAACAAGGTGGCCGCAGTCATCCTCTGCAGTCCTTCACCTACTTATAGTCAAATATCATAGGGACTGTACGGCAATGCCCTCCCGTATGAGCAATAAGTTAAAATCTCATCTTGTTGGTGATTTACACGCAAAATAAAGCAAGCTCATAATTGCATCCGGGTTTACAAAATTGGCGGCTGATGGGTCCTACGTACTTTCAAGCGTAGCGTACACAGCTAATTTTTGGGCACGACATGGAAACGGGAAGTCCCCGTAGCAGAGGTGGCCTTGCGCTTAGTTTCAGGGAGGTAAAGGTGGGGACACAGTCTAGGCCCGAGATTTTGGTTAGTTTTCGGTACAGGATTAGGACACGTTAAACGGTACACCCCCCGAAACTTAGCGCAAGACCACGAGGTTCCCATTCCTGTGTCCTATCGTCTGTGCAGTGTGCAGGGGTCCCTTGAGCGTTAAAACACGCTGGTTAGCGCAAAAAATCAGGATCTAGCATTCTGTTTGGGAAGAAAATCCAGCTGGCAACGCAAGTCTTACATTCTGAGAAACATGCAGTTTGAAACTAATCAAAAATAACTATCATATCGAGCGCCCGTAAGATTATTAGAGGTTTCACAAAGAGTTACACAGGCAGGCAGTATCACGGACAAAGGTACCGTGTTATCAGTTCAACCAGAAAGACACGGTACAGTGAAAAACCCCAAAGAAAAACTGGAGGAAAATTAAGGAAAGAAAACTACGAACGGACAAACCCATGAAACGTAAAAGAAAGTGAAACTAGGTATACTTTAGTAGACACCGTTGATATGCTGCTATGTCTACCAAATTAAGGCTGGCTAATGAGTTTATTTCTGGTGTCTGTTCATTCGCCACTCCAAAAGGTAGACCAAATACGTCTAGGAATTGCAAATCTATTATGGGTGCTATGATTAAGTATCGATGACGGTACTGCTACCACTGCGACCGTTAGTAACGCCACTAGAACTACTTACTACTACTACTACTACTACTACTACTACTACTACTACTACTACTACTACTACTACTACTACTACTACTACTACTACTACTACTACTACTACTACTACTACTACTACTACTACTACTACTACTACTACTACTACTACTACTACTACTACTACCACTACTACTACTACTACTACTACTACTACTACTACTACTACAACTACTACTACTACTACTAATACTACTACTACTGCTACTTCTACTGACACTACTGCTGCTAATATTCCTACAAATTTTCGTGTATTTAACACAGAGTTTATTAATACCGGTACCAATGTTGCCAATGGGGGTGCTACTGTAAATAAAACGGTATGTAGTACCAGAAGAATTGCTAAGAGTGTCTTAAGCAGATAACTAGTGCGGCAGCTCCCTCTGTAACCAACAGTACTGATGGAACTGCAGCAAGCAACTGTATACCGCTGGCAAGAGCGATATCGCAAAGAAAAAGACTGATGCATTCTCATCAGCAAAAATAATCGACGAAAACAATTAAATAACACGCCTACTTAATTCAGTAGGCATTTTTAAATGTCGCAACAGACTAATTCGCCGCGAATTAGTGTTGCGACTCCGGAAGCATAGCCGTAAAAGAAAGTAAAGCAAGGCATACTTTCGTGGACACCGTTGATATGCCTCTCTAGTCCTCTTTTCTCCGAAAAGGCCTTGCCACAGGTCTCGCAGGCGTATTCTCGGAGGTCTGAAAAGGGAAGACAAGGCTCCTCAGAAGTCGGAAATTCTCTCGACTGACATTAACAATTCCCCAATCACCTGTGACCCGATCCAATACCATCAGAATACTAACCTTATGAAATAAACTAACGAGGGTCCGTTACCAGCAAGCATACTCTTGCCGAGTTAATTAGATTACCCCCAGAGGATCTCAAAACAGAATTTTATCTGTCGTACTACTAAATGCTAACATAGCTTTCTGTGTTTTTCAGGCAACGAATTTCAGAGGAGTGGAAACCTCGTACGCATTTGTGCGACAGATCAGTTCGATCGTTATGAGCGATGATAATCACCGTTTGTCGCAAAACAACGACTCACGCAGAATGCGCCGCACTCTCTCCTCCTCCGCCGCCAAATTGGCAAGACTAAGTTAGGGCGACTGGCCGCGATATCGCGCACAGTGGCTGACAAGGCAAGGCATCTCATCTACGCATGCCCCGCACGCTCCGGCCGCGCGCGCGATGAACCAGGCGATAACAGGAACAAGAAAAGGGGCAGCTCGCATCCCCACTGACTGGGAGTGTCGTAGGGGTCACATTGAGAAGGAGCCATTGAAGTCTGACTCTCGTCCTGGAAGAAGGACTAAGTTATCCAGTCAGCTGGAAGTTCTCCAAGCCACGATTTATGGCACACGATGATAACTTAACAGCGACTCAGCTTGTTTGTGTCGAGTAAATGAACTGAAGTGCTATAGGGACGGAGTTCGTAGAGTCCACCTCGACCTCCCCTAGGCACGAGCCCACTGTTAGAGCCAATCAGTCAGCCGATGCGCGGACAGGGTTAGGTGGCTGGCGCATAGTGAATTTGCGTCCAGGCGTTCCACCACACCCCCCCCCCCACGTGTGGTCTACAGCCCAAATAACGCACACCGCGTCCCCACATGAACCCGGTGTTGGTCCAGCGGATCTTCTATGTAGCTCGCTGTAGGAGCCACGGCAGTTTGGCCATCGCAAACGAAGATGCCCAATGCGTGCTCCACCACATTATGGGCGCTGGGATTGGGTGAATGGCCATTCCAGTCTCTCTTGTCTATGTCGGTACTAACATTCTGCCTATATCATGCGCCGCTGTGTGGTTGCTGGTTGGGCTCGAGAGAGGACACGAAAGGCACAACGGAACGGGTGAGTTCCGCAAGAACGATCGGTGAGCACCCCTCTAGCACGGCGAATTAGTTTTTAATGGGAACGGACTTGCGCAGCATCTATCGCACTCTCTCCTCACACACCCGCCAGGGTCCCCCGCCAGGACGGAGTCAGAAAGGGCGGAGGTAAGATCGGAGGTCACAGATAGCGGCCAACGATACATGAACGGATATGTGGTACGCGATAAAATTTATGAAACGCTGAAAATAAAAGTCGGATGACTGGAAAGGGATGTACGGGTTGTTGTTATTCACGACTGCGACAAGACCTTACATCAAGACAGACGCTAAATCGTGGCAAGGACGCTCCCTGTAGACGCGATGCTCCGCGCTACATTCATGTGTGTAACTCTAACTAAAAACCTAACGCTAACTCTTGCGCTAACAGAAACCCTCATAAATCTAAATCTAAACCCAACTCTAACGATCTTGCCTATTTAGCTCAAGTCAGCCGTGCTCAGACAGATTTGGTAAGAACTTTCCACAGGAAGGGAACTCATCATTTAACTTTTTTAAGAAATGCCGGCGGCTGCTGATTTAGGTGGCCATCAGATTCGGCGAACGGTCAATCAGCCGATCAAAATGGGACGCCATAAACAACAAGGTGGTAAATGAAAACGCGAATGATGTATTTGTTTAACACAACATTCAAGATAACGTGCGAAATACAATATAGGTCGGAACGCCGATGATGGTGGCAAGTACTCATAAAGAATACGATAGTTTGACCGTCGGTTTCGATGATGCCCACCGTATGCTCCACAGCAGGGCGGGGCAGGGCCGGTGACTTGCGCAGGATTCTAGTGAGAGTAGACTTGCGCTGCATCTACCGCAATAACTCACCTGGATCCGATGTCAAGACAGAGTCAAGAAGACCGGAGACGGGGGAGGGCGCAGGTGGGTGGCACATTCGAACCCGCACCTTGGCGTTCCACTTCACACCCCTTGGTCCATACAACAAATAACTAGGTTTTTGACTAACAAGGAGAGTGAAGGCTGGCACGGTTGAAACCGCCCCTAGGCGTGCCGCCAACATCCGGCTAGGATCCCACACAGTGGGAGTGCCATAATGGCCACTTTAAGAAGGAACCATTGCAGCCTGACTCTCAGACCACCAGCCGGCAACTCCGCACCAACACGCGCAACACTGGGCTGACTGTGAGATCCAAGTTACCCCGTCAGTTGGCAACCTTGCAAGCCACGGCTTTTAGCGCATCGTAATAGCTTCAAGCGCGTCAGATTGTTTATAGTGAGGAAAATGCGCTGAGTCGTCGACCTCACTCCCCCTTCCCATTCCCACACACCAGTCACTGTCCAAGCCGGTCAGTTAACTGCAGCGGGACTCATAAAGAATACACTAACAGTTAAACGTATCTACCAAAAATCGTTCTCGCCCTAAGCTCGCCTCGACGGCCACACTACACGCACTACCGCTGACTGGCAAGACAAACCAGATGCGGGTGTCCAACGTGAGTTCAGCATTACATCCGGCAATCCCTCTGCTAATGCTCAAACCATACCCTCCTACTCACAACCACAGTTCTGTACAGAAGACGAAAAGCGAGTTCCCAGGCGGTCCCTACTCAAAGTCGTGACTCATCACACAGCAATTCAGCAGCCGTCTGGGATGACGGCCCCATTTACGGGCGGCACCGCCAACCCCCCGCATCCCCCCAAAGGGGAGCGAGTTAGAAAATGCGCTCTGAACGATGCTCGTAAAACAAAGCGTGGAATTGTAGTCGTGACTACCGATTCCTACAAAAAGACCTTCGCACGCATCTGGGAATAACGCTCAAACCGTACGCGCCCACCCATGGCCACAAAGTCCCAAGCAGAGGGCGATAAGCAAATTCCCAGACGGCCCCGACTAAATCGGGCGGTCTACCCACTGCAACGGAGTCCTGACTCATCACACCGGGCAGCACTGCTAACCCCCCCCCCGTCTCCCATCTGAGGGGAAGGCAGCCAGACGATGTGACCTGAAAGACGCTCGGAAAACACGCCATGGGTGAGCTGACTATGGACTTCGGTCGTGAATTCTGTGCTCGGAAAAATATAAAAGTGACGATCGCTACTCTATCGGTGTGTCTGCCCACAGTATGATAGACAGACGCTGGATGTTCTGGTAGACCGAAAAGCCCGCCCTTCGGGACAATAAAATGGGCAATCGACCGGAAATGTCAGTGAGACCAGCCTCTCCGAACAAGGACAATTGGACCAACCGACTTCTGGCTAAACCTCCTTCGAAGGCGGACGTTCAAAGACAGATCGACGAGGCGGTGGAATCGTCTTTGCTATCAACAACTACGTCGGGAGACAGCTGTCCTGCCTGCCGTACCGAATCAGCGACCGTCTATTGGATATGACACCGTCGATCTGCGCGAACAAATCAATCACTCCCTTCAGCATCTACCTTTCTTCAAATACCAACCCCGACAATGCAAAGAACAAATTCTACAAAGAATTAACGCCCAAACTGGTTCTCCTTGTTGACGTCATCGTCTGCGACGGCACAGACCACGCTACCTAACTCGGCAGCTGCAACGGCAATGCTCTTCTTCTTCTTCTTCTTCTTCTTCTTCTTCTTCCGTAGACATCTATTCAAAATTTTATGCGCAAATGCAACTACGAGGGTCACCAAGGACAGTTACCGCGACCTGTTGTTCGCGGATGACAGCCCAGTAAATACAGCAGCATAAGCGAACACAGGAAGTAGCGTGGATGTCGCTGCACCAGGCTACACAAACCTCGGGCTTACAAGGCAGTGTTCATACATCAGCCAGCGCCAAAAGATTACTACAACGAGTCAAGGGTCTACGTCAGTGAAACTCACCTCATACTCATCGACGAGTTTGCATATGTTGGAAGTACCATCTTCAGAAACGTCAATATTGACGAAAAATCGCAAGTTAGATCTCCAGAAGGAGGTCGGCCGGCCAAAGCGCTTCGTGGGCAATTGCATAGTATCCTATTTATCAGGAAACCTAGTACACATCAGGTAGTCAGCTTGACAACTCTCCAACACGGGGGAAAAACAAGGACGGTCTAGAAGATCTGCCCGACGAGACCAAATCCTTCTTAACTTAGGTGCCTCATAAGTATAGAGAAGGTCAGGTGGCAGGAACGGATCACATACAGAACCACCGGAATAGATAGGCGTTCTCCGTATTAACGCCAAGAGATACAACCGCGTTGGAGCGGTCGCATGGCTAGAATTGCTATCAGATACAGAAGCTTGCAGCTGAGGCGAGCAAAAGCGACGACACTCTGATGACACACGATTGATGGCCGTATGTAAAAAACGACTCAAATGCGATTGGACTATCTGCCTACATCCAAATACTGGTTATCCGAAGCAGACTGAGCGCATAGTGTGGTTAGGAAGCAGAGGGTCTCGGTTGACCGTTCTACGATGGATGCGGTGGCAGCAGATCCCGCCCTTTCTCATAATCACTTGTTCCAAACCACCATGTCAGTACTGCACCCGCATAATTGCCAGTCGCTATGCGTTACGGAACAAGTGTGTCCCGTAACATAATCGGCAAACGCACTTTTACCACATAAATCCATCAGTAAATATCAGCTCTAAAATCCGACGGCACAAGCCAGTGCAACGACCCTAAACATAAAATAGCTTCAGAATAATCACTGCCATTCATCCTGCAAGTCATCTCAGTCAAGTGAAATTAACGTCTTCAGGCGGAAAGGATTTTTCACAACTTTGGGGTAGTCGAAGAACAAACAGCCAGTTTAAAAGGAAATGATTGGAACAAATGTGAATAAATGACGGTTCGACCGGATGATGTCGATGATGTGCACTTTGTGATCCACAGCATGGTGAGAGAAGGAACGGTAACTTGTGCTTGAATTAGTTAATGATAATTGTAGACTTGCGCCGCATCTACCGCACTCTCCCCTCCACTCCAGCCTGCACCCGGTGTCAAGACGGAGCCATAAAACGGAGGCAGGGGAGGGCGCAGGTGACTGGCATGGTTGAAACTCGTGCTTAAACGTACCAGACGCGGTTAACACCACCCCTGGCTTCGCCAGCGGCCACTGTCGCTCTGTATACAATCAATAAATCTGGTACATGCTGTCTTTCCCAACAACTTGGGATTTGGCCTGGCGATTGTAGCGCACTGAGCACTCACTCCCACCGCTTAGACTCTTCAGTAGTAACACCTAGAATGACTGGCATTACCGACAAAGACAAGGGAGACTGGAATAGTCCTTTCTGGCTTTTTAGCCGTCGTCAGCCAGTCATACCCAACCTCGAAGTGTGAAACACCCGAGGCTCGAACTCGCGACCTGTTAGTTAGAACTTTACGCCTCTAACCACTGGGCCAAGAGCCCGTTGCACTGTCGGCAAGGCACAACGGAACGAGTGAGTTCCGTAAGGAAGATCGGTGAGCGCCCCCTACTATTGCATATTCCCGATCGAAAACCGGCAGGGCAACGGGCTCGTGGCCCAGTGGTTGGAGGCGTGCACTTCTAACTAACAGGTCGCGAGTTCGAGCCTCGGATGTTCCACACTTCGGGGTTGGGTATGACTGGCTGACGACGGCTAATAAGCCAGAAATGGTCATTCCGGACTCCCTTGACTTTGTCGGTAATACCATTCTGCCTATATATCATGCGCCGACGTGCGGCTGCTGGTTGGGCTCGAGAGAGAGCCCATAAGGCACAACGGAACGAGTGAGTTCCGTAAGAACGATCCATGAGCGCCCCTACCATTACTTAGAATGAAATTCACATGCGAGAATCCTCATTTTCCGTTTAATAGCCCGTCATCAAATTAGCCAAAACAAACAAGCGACGCAGAGAAGTTCGTGTGTGTCGTCACCGGTGAGAGCGCAGTTCTTCGCCCTCCCCCCGCCACCCTTTGGCCCCTGGCTCAGAGGTCAGGGTGTTGGACGTCTAACCAGCAGGCAGCGAAGTCGAGCCCCAAGGGCTGCCCACCGCGGGTTCGGGTTTGGCTGGCTGACGACGACTAATATGCCAGAAATGGCCATTCGAGTCTCCCCTGATGATAGGAATAGAGAAAGAGACGTACTTCTGTGGACAGCGTCAATATGCTTCTTTAGGTCTCCCTTCTGTGCGCAGGACTTGCCGCAAATTTCGCATGAATGCTCTCGCAATTCTGAAATGTAGATAGCATGCCTCAAGGATTTGCACAGTACTTCATATTTGATATCGACATGCGAAGTAAAGTTCGGTTCCTGAGAAGGGAAATTCGCTCATAGTTGGTGCGGGGCAAAACCCCCAGTCTAGGCTAAAAATGAGCTTGGTGAGTCTGTGATTTGGAGGGAACGCACACAGTCTACAATAAACAGAAGATTGATGTCCTATCGGGCTCTGGAGGACACCGTAACCCCGACTGCAGGATATTTGTATAATGACTACCTCGACATCTTTGTAAACTGACGATCTGCACCGCCAAATTTATATCCTAACAAATCTAATGAGTGTTCTTAGAAAGGAAACGGACAGTATATGAGAATTCCTACATCGTGAATATACGCTAAATACGGTCCGCAAATGTTTATATAAAAAAATTAGCTATGCTATGAGAATAAAGGTGCATAAAACAGGATTATCATGAAATGCAATGTTCGTCCTAGGAAAAGTTGTCGCCTCGCTGCTACACAGGGGCTGCTTCGATAGTCTAGAAATGAAACTTACTTTGCACGTTATCAACCAATCATGGCAAAAAGTAACTGGAAGGTCGTTTCCAAAGGTTAGGAAATCTTTATGTGGGCAGCGCGGAACAAAATATGGCATGGGGTCACAAAATAGTCCATTTTAGTGTGAGGACGCACATGATTTGAAAAGCTATGATAAAGAGGGTCGCTAAGATTAGTATAAAAACAAGTTAGGAGTTTTAATGAGAAGTCGAGGAGACATACTATTAAATTTGTTTAAAGACAAAAGCGATAAACCAATGAGCAAAAGCAGACGCACTTTTGTGGATACCGTCAATGTGTCTTTTCAGGGAACCGCTCTCCGAAAAGTTTTTGTCACAGATCTCACACTTATATTCTCGCGGCTCTAAAATATAAATAAAAGGACTTTAAGTTATCAAATTCCACTGTATTTGTCCTGCTTGACTTAAATTTCCCAGAAACCAAATTGTATGGTCAAAATGGGGATTTCATATCTTATTCAAATCTAGGTCGAATAGTTTTATGCTACTCAAAACAGTGCGATGTACCACCAATCGGACGGAGTTACTTGAATAGAGCCAACACTTTTGGTGCAGATTCGGGACAGAGATCCTGTAGCCACGTGTCGGAGGCGACCCTTCCCTCGTAACTGCTCACTTCTCTCTCGCAAAATTCGCCGCAAAGCTTATCTCTTTTTCCGCGCCTTCCACGGTTCTCGCCTCCAGTTTCCCACAGCGTTGTACTCACCGTCAGTTGTTTAGCTGACATGCCGATGTCATCTACCCGTCCAAACGGATCGTCTCTCTGATGTAACTCATCCTTTCTTGTACCATTAACCATTGTCCACATACTAAATTCCTTCCTGTTACTATTATACATTTTTATGCCGGCCTAATTCTTCCCCTACACCCTTTTGCCGGCATGAATGCGATGGCGCGATCAACAATTCTGTTGAGCTCGACTTAGGCCAGGAGCTATGCTCAGTGTCTGACGTAGTCTCATCTTCGATGTTGATTATCGGTAGCCCATATTTCGCTGAGCCTTCCCGTATGCCAAAAGGTCACAGAGGCCATTAAAAGTCCTCTTGGAGTCGGGCTGCACACAAGCCGGAGGCGGCTATCAGACGCCAAGTACACTGATAGAGGATAAACTGACACGGCAGAAAACGGTTGGAGTAATCTAACGAACATGGTACAGTCGCGTACGCGGATGGCCGAACATGCATCAGCTGTGAGGAGGAATTGTTTCAGGCCGTAAGTCACAGATCATTCGGCGGGAAGAGGTCAACATTCACGTGAGAGGTGATAACCTCGTGAACCGCAAGCTGTCGGAAACACGGTTTTCCGACCCGCTGTCAATTAATAACGCTTATGTCCATCACCTTCCATAGGAAGTTATGAGGCATTGTCTGGGCATTGCAAATGGTCAACTGAAAAACACGCGGGCTAACACTGCTTCCTGTGACAACATCGATGACCCAGATGGCATAGTAATTATTATTTCAATAATCCACAACCGTGATTAAGACTGCGACAATTTTAACGTCCCACTAATTGGACTGAGTTGTTTGAGGAGATGATGTACTACTTATCGGTGAGGATACCCGGTGGTCCTTCCTTTGTAGCTCTTTACTTACCTCCCAAAACATTCGCTCCAAAACTCTTATCTCTCTCTCCTTCCCTATCTCGGTGCCTTCCACGGTCCTCGCCCCCAGATTCCCACAGCGTCGAACTCACCGCCGGTAGTTTGACTGACATGAGATGTCACCTACCCGTCCAAACGGATCGATTTAGGCCAGGAGCTATACCCCGTGTTTTCTACTTTTAGTGTCTTCGGCTGCCGCAAAGTAAAGACTCGAATGTGTATGGAGAAGCAATCATCGCATCAAGCACAACCATCAGCGGTGGATGTCCTAGCTGCCACTTATGGTACATATTTGATGATGTTGCAACCGCACCGCCTTGTGCGTCCATCAATCCTATCTGCAGCTGTTTCTCCCAGCAGTCGGCTTAAAAGAGCAGACGTCGCTCTTAGGTGGCCTTAAACAGTACACAAACAACCGCCGTCGCCGAGGAGGAGGAGGAGGAGGATGAGGAGGGGGGGAGGAGGAGGAGGAGGGGGAGGAGGAGGAGGAGGAGGAGGAGAAGAAGAAGAAGGAGGAGGAGGAGGGGGGAGGAGGAGGAGGAGGAAAAAGAATTGGCGAAATGGGTCCAGTAAATAATGGAAACAGAGAGGTGCGAAAACGTGCGTACTTCTTTTGTCACAACCGGCATGATTCTTCAGGTGTGACTTCCGCTTAAAGGTTTTCCCACACACCTCACACGCAAATTTGCGCAGTTCTAAAAAACAAATAATAACGTTTAAATTGTATTGGAAGTCAGAGTTAACTTCGACCAATTCCTTCTCATTTCCTCAGTTAACATGCTAACCTTCATGCAGGTTGCTTCATCGTCTGCAGCATGGACCTCAGCATGAAAATAAAAAAAACTACATTTGTGCTTCAATACACAGACATAGCGCCCGATCGCGAGATGATACAGACTTCGGGAAAGCGATGCCTGGCCGTCAATTCCCGAGTCTGATAATTAAGCAGTCGCGGGCACCGATTAAGCAAATTAGTTACATACGAAATAGCAGTATTAGAGAATGAACGGTATTGCCCGGCAAAATGATCGGCCGTCAGTCAGATCCACCTAATCGATGACCGGCGAGCCACGACTTAACTGCGCTTTTTCGAGACCACAGAACAGCCACTCACGCTAAAGTCAACGGCACACGATGGGGCAAGTTGACGCCCAGAACGGAATACTTCCTGGAGAGGCAGGGATTACTTGGACGTGAACTGGGCCCTGAGCGGCATCCATCACGCTCCCCTCTTCCCACACTCACTGCGTCCACTGGTCTGACAGAGTTCAGACTATCGGGGATGGGTATAGCAGAGAGACCGACGAAGCTGAACAAGCACCTATCTATACAGCATGCGGGCTGGTCTCAAAAAAATGAGGACGGGTGCCAAATACGCGGCCGCAGGTCTTCCATCACGGCTACCTTACGTACTAATGTGTGTTCAGTAGGTGTGTTTGTGGTATATTTTTTTGTCGCAGCGGCGGCCACAGTGACAGTACGCCAAAATGAGATTTGAAAAAGGTCTCGGGAACAAGCTGGCCGGCGAGGCTGACAGGGTAAAGAAGGGACGTAGGCTCCTGACCCTCAGTAGGACAGAGTCCTCCTAACGGGTTGCAATCTTACAAGCCAGCGAATATGGCGCATCTTGATATTTTAGAACTGACCCAGTTAGAAAAAAGAGCGCAGAATAGAAAGGATGAAATCTACCTCAGGGTCGGCCCCGCAATCGCGTCATTCACCAACAACAAGTTTGAGTCATGAAAACGGTGAGATGAGAAACGATATGTTGTGTGGCATCAAGTCCCAAGTTTGTCCGTGTCACATACACCGACTCGGCCAGCCGGGCGGGTCTAACGGCGTGCCAACTGAACCTAGACTCAGACCTCAGGGTATGGCTGGCTAAAGGCGGCATATAAATCATTATTTGTCATTGCAGTTTTCTGTTGACTCTATCGGTAGTAATTATTGATTACTGATTGTTTCCCACTGCGAGACTATCCTCCCGTGGGATTTCTAACCCCGACCTCCCTGACAAAGCAAGATGCGCGTGTTCAGTGAGGGAACACAACTCTCGCAAGGCTTCAAAAAAACACACCGACAGGCGCTGTGGAGAAAACCAAGGTGGCGTAACACCGGAATCGTTGCGGAATGGAAATCGCAAAACATAGAGCGAAAAGCAACGTACGTTTGTGAACGGCGTCAACATGTTTCCTTAGATGAACCTTTTCCTTAAAGGCTTTGCCACAAGTGTCACAAACGTGCCGTCGTAGTTCTGATGGACAAGAAGAAATACGTAAGGTTGTTAGAGAGTCTGTTTTCTTCCTTTACGAAGACTGCATAATGTTCGAAAACATAAATCTCACAAAAAACTCATGGGAAAAGTCGATGTGGCATTAGAGAGGAAAGTGTGAGAGCTCGGAATGATTAAACATTAAGAGAGAGGCTAGCATCTTTGTGGATACGATTAACACGATTCTTTGGATATGCCTTTGGAGCAAAGATGCTGTCTCAGATTTCAAAAATGGACTGTCGCGTTCACGAAGAACAAATAAAAAAAGAAGTTCTCTTTCAGATATGCATTATACAGTACCTGTGCTAACTCATGAAATGCCGAGGTCAAAATTATAGTGGACAATGTAGTGTATTTTTGGTGTCGTTATTTGTGTTTATTTGGTTGAAATAAGGACGAAAAGACCGTTTTCTGAAGGAAAGTTTGATACGGATCTTTATACGTCCTCATACGTAGCCTTTATTAACTTGGTTGTAATATAGGCGTTTCTCGAAAATGTGACTTTTGTCGAAAATTATTTATTTTTATCTCAGTAAATAATATTTTCTTAACCAAACTTTGCTTTATTTCTTTGGCACATCGTTTATTGTCCGCTATCAGACTTTGGGAGCCGTAGTGTTTACCGATTTTGCGTTAAAGGCGTTAACCTGTGTTAATTCGTGACATTTCATGAGTTAGCACAGGTACTGTATTTGAATCATCACGGCTGCAAGCCAACAGAAACTTTTCAAAACAACATCTAGCCCAATAACTCATAGGAAAGCTCTTTACCCATATCGGTCCTTGGGCGGATCTATGGAAATTCAAAACGTTCAAAAGCTAAAAACTTACCTAACTGCAAACAGTAACCATGAAACCTTGGATCACGCGCATAACCAGCTGCCTGGGAGATCGCGCTGGGGTGAGACACTGCGCCTAGATTCTGAACTAGACAGACTCGGCCCCTTCAGCCGAAGTCCAATTGAAAGACGCCTTTGTGCCTCCAGATAACGACGACTGAAGCTCACTGTGCGAGGCGGAGAGGGTTATTGGGATATCGTGACCACAGAACGCCAAGGAACCTGACAAAAGCAGCCCTCCAGAGGAAGTATAAAAATCCCGTTCTGAGGAAATTGTCGACCTGATGCGAGGAACCAGAAAAAGCGCCCACGACCGTGACGAGACTGCAGCTGCATTGTTTTTCAAAAATGGCGGGAGGTCTCTATGAGGAAATTACGGTGTCCTAATTCTTCTTGGCACAGCCTTTAAAATTTCCAAAGGCGATCTCCGACATTGTCTCCGTTTGTAGTGCGACGACTGAGGGAGAAATAATCAGTGTGTTTTTCGACCAGGAGGCAGAAAAATATGTTGGCCAAAACCTTCTACTTCTCAGACCTGGACCGGCTACGCAAGCCATGTCAGGAAACTCAATTACTTCCATCTCGGTTGCCGCCGCAGATCACTAAGACTGAGAAAACGGGATGGAATCCATGAAACGGGCATCCTGGGACGGACTGGAAGTCTTAGCATCCACGCAGTGTTGAAGTAACTGCAACTGCGACGGAGCGGCCACCTCGTGATGGATGATGCGCGACTATCCAAGCGGCTCTTTTACGAAGACACTGTTACAGGTGCTCGCTGACCGGGAAGACAAAAAAGATGATCCAACGACACTCTGAAGAACTCTCTGATGTGACGGCAGATCAACCCAAGGACCTGGGAGGACCTCGCCCAGAACAGACCGGGCTGGAGATGAAGACTAGCCCAGCCATCTACCAAGCAACCCGGGTAGCCGCCGCTAAAGCCAAAGGGCTGCGTGCAGGACTCCGATTCGAAACTACGCCACTCAACTCCGCCCGCGTTCGCGCTGTCAGCAAACATTTCGCGCGCGGATCGGCCTCGTTGGTCACCTTCGGACTGGATGCGCCAACTGCAATTGCTGCCTCCGCGACCGCGGCTGCCCAGCCTCCGTTCAACCGTGCCCAGATGACGGAGCAGGAGAGAGTGCGGTGGATGTGGCGCAAGTTTACTATCACTTCAAAAAAAATCACGCGTAAGTCACCGGGCCCGCTTTAACTCTGCTGTGGAGCACGCGGTGGACATTGTCAGTCACAAGGATCGAGCAGTCATTTCTGGCTTGCCCTCGAACACTGTCAAAGATTGAAAAAACTGTCCATTTTAGATTTATTTCGTGGATTTTGCCTCTGTATGTCACTCGAGTCCTTGGGACCGATCGTGCTACGAGATTACGTAGCGCCGAAGTTTCTTCGATCGCTCCAAGCCTACTGGCTCAGAACGAGAGATAAAGTTCGCGTGAACGTTGAGGCCAGTGATTTCCTCGACGTCGTTTCCTCTCCGGCCTGTGTTCCATCACGAGCGTCGTTTAAATACTTGGTTGAGTGGGTTCTACAGCACGTCCTGCCTGACCGCCCCAGTGCCGCAATAGGCCATAGTCCTGAGCCTGGATTACGCTCGTGGCGTTAGGGCGATGGGGTGGAGGGGGGAGTTCCCTAAAAACATGAAACAATGCAGACACTATGGGGGGAAGGGGGTAGGGAAAGATTTCCGCAGTCACAGATTTATGTCGGGTCAGAGCAGACTGTCAAATTCTGGATTTGAACAACTTCAATCGAAGAAGACACGAGTGGACTCAAGCGCCGGACCAACCAAGCGAGCAAAGCCTCTGCAGAAACCTGTGAAATCGGGGAATGCGCCAAGCAATCACTGCCAGACAGGGCACGGAATAACCGATGTGCAAGACGGCAGGACGGCTAGGTTGCACGATCCCTGACCGACCCTACCGAGCCTCAACGAGTGGTTGACATGAGAAATAACAGGCTTCTTTACAGCCAACCTTAATGTTACAGAAAAATCTACGAATGTATTGGCTACCAGAGAGTGATTATACAATACAGCAGACCGACATCTTTTCGATGAATCTTTCAAGATGTAGTTACTTGGTGTGAAGTTCTGAACTCGTCCTCCAAATTTCCTTTCAAAAAGACATACTGTCATAGATTTTATGAACTATCCTCGCCATCTGTGTTGGATTCCGTAAATTTTATGCATGAGGAAAATTAGGCCTGAGATATCTTTCCTAGGCATCGTGATTCATGAGGTTCAATGAAACAGACATTACAAAAATTAAAAAGCATCGATAAGTTTGTGTCGACCACCAGTCGGCAGTCTGATTGGGGAGTAGTCTATGACCTCTCTAAAAGTCTCCTTTGATCGATTTTGTAAACTGCACCTCTTTTAAGAAACAGATGATCCTAGCTCGTGTAATTCGGCCAAGATGGCCTGTAGTATTGTTTGGGATGCCAACACTCCCAAACATGAGAGCCAGTCGATCACTGGGGGGCCACGTGCGTATTGCCCTAGCGCGTTGTCAGCATCATCGTGGTGCTTCGCCATTGACTGCCCCCCTCGAGCCTGATCGATCCGTGTATTCGAATTATCGATCAGCTCGTCCAGAATCTTCTTTTTGAATTGAATTGGGCTGAATGCAGGCGAACCCCAGTAGGATGTTATAAATACACGTTACTTTCCCAGTTAGACTTGACCTGCAGTTTCCTAATACACTTTTTCGTGGCCGGTCGTGTTCTTCTCTGCCGCGTTGGTATTGGGGACAAATGTCGAACGTGCATACGTTCCACGTGATTTCAAGTACCAGGCCGGGTCATAACAAGTATCAGTTAATTGTGAGTTTGACGCAACGTACAGAGGGCAGAACCTATACGATTGTCAAAACGCGCGGCTTATAGCCTCCACAAAGAACCCGATGAGACATAGTTACAGAACAAAAACTAGTCTCGTTTCCTTCGAAAAGTTGCATCACCAGTACAACGGCGCATTTCCAATAGCTTTTCTTTTGCATACAATTACTTGACCTCGGTACCTGTGCGTCCCCCGACCCCACCTGCAAAAGCCCCTATTACCACTAGTCCCCCATTACAGGTGGATGGGGTTTGTTTACTTCATGTGGGGCTACATAAACACACCTGACCGAAAATCGGATAAACGGATGTCTTCCAAGGCACTGATATTAGGTTATAATTTTCTTTGTATTATATCACTTGTTTGGCCAGACACAGACAAAAGAGCTGATGAGACACGGGAATAATCCCCCGTAATGCACGTAGCCTTGACCTAAACCCTAGAAAGGGTGCCGATTCTCGTGGCATAAACCTAGACCTAATCCCAATCCAGACCTCCCGAGAATTTAACGCAAAACCACCTGTATAAGGAAGCGGCTCCGACTTTCGCGTTTATTCGAGATCTTTATTGAGAAAGTTTCTTCTGACAAAAATAAGAACCGGCGAAAAATCATGAAGAGAATGTGGCGGCAGGGTGGAATCGGTAAAAAAAGGCTTGAATGCAAAAGTGCAGGAATAAAGAGACATACTTTTGTGGACACTGTTTGCGTGCCTCTTCAGTTCCTGATTGCGAGTAAAGGCTTTGCCACAAGTCTCACACGTGTGCTTTTGTATTTCTAGAACACACGGAAGAACGTTTTAATAAAGGAGGGGTTGGACTTCATACTTTAAATGTCAACAAGGGGATATCTACGTATGCCACACACGATCTGGCCCTCAGTTCTGGGGAGCGACGATAAACCGTACCAGTAGGCATGCCTCCAAGCAACAAGCCTTGGTGGGTCGTGTTAGATCAAGTGAAGAATGCGCTGATTTGGCATGAGTAAGGGTATGCTGGCATCGGTTTCCCTCCCCTCGCTTCCTCTCTCTCTCTCGCACATCCACCAATGACCTCTCGGGGCCTGCCAGCTGACTGATGATAGAATTGGACGCAGCGGTTGGCGTGGTGTAGAGTCCCGGACAAATGCATGCCAAATGTGCAAACATACAGTGAGTGAACGATCTCATGAAATGTTGTCCAAAATTCTGAAATGCGTTTACGATTGTGAAGGATTACTTGGGCGCGGTTGTAATAATGATTACCTTGCGATATAATCCTATAATACTTCGGACTCGGCAGGATTTCAGCTTTTGAATACGTTGTTATTTAATCTCCTATAGAAACTGAACTTGGTAAAAAATGACTATTTAAGTAGCACGCATTTTTCTCATTGATTTTCCATGGTCTTATAAAATCAAATATATTTTATAGAAACCACGAACAAAAATATGCTTTCTTTCAGTCATTTGATAAAGAATCACGTCGTCTTTATATTTTATACTCGAAAAAGGCGTATAATTATGCTTTAAAAGTTTTCTAATTCCCGATTATTTGGAACCTGATCAGCCCTTGCATTAACGCCTAACGATTTCAGTTTGCATGCTGCATGCGTTCCGCGTAAGGAAAATCATATATTCTCCCATGCCTTTAAGAAAATGCCATATTGAGTCCATAAAATTTTGCGATGGATGCAGACTATGTTGTACATTTCATGAGGAGCGGTGGTAAAAGGACAGGTACAATGCTGCATGAATAGACATTGCACGGTTTTAAAAAATCTCATAATTAGAAACTTTTTGAAAACCTAATTATACTCTTTCTTCGAGTATAAAATATAAAGTTGGCGTGATTTTCTATCAAACGAGTGGAAGAAAGAGTCCTTTTGCTCATGTTTTTTATGAAATGTATTTAAATTTATATGTCTGTCGAAAATCACTTTGAAAAATGCATGCTATATAAGTAGTCATATTTCGCCAAGCACGGTTTCTACGGGAGATTGAGAAAGGGTTAATTTAAAAGCCGACATTCTGCCGAGTCTGAAATATTATAGAATTATGCCGCAAGATAATCAGTATTACAACCCCACCTAAGTAATCTATCCTAACTGAAAACGAATTTCAGAATTTTGGCCAACATTTCATGAGATCAGTCACTCATTGTAAGTAGGCATAATGGCTCATCCCTCATTACCAATGACTGCAGAGGGTTCATGAATTGATTTGACTTATAAGGATTGCTTTGCGAGTGTCATGCAACCGATATTGGTCATGGCTGCGCATATTACGGAATAGGTGTATGCAATGGCTAAAGTTGCGGTTGCGGTGTGGAAGAGGGAAATGTAAGTGATGAGGGACGGCAGGCCTGTAACAGGGGGGGGGGTTACCCCTGGGCATCACAGTCATCAGGTCAGCTTGAAGGTAGCAAGATATGACGAAAGATACAATAATGATGGGTCTTTTGAGTAGAGAACACGGGGACACTGCCTTTCACGCTCTTGCAGTTAGCGAAGCTAACGCGACCGTTGACGGTTGTCGAACATGTTCGAGGCAGAGTGAGACAGTGGGGCGAGTTGGTTTTATAGGTGCTTTTATGCGTACAGTAAGTGAGCTAACGCATGAAATCTCAGCAGAAATTCCGAAATTCGTTTCCGTTTCGAAAAGATTAATTAAGTAGGGTTGTAAAACTAATCCACATGCCGCATAATTATATGATATTTCAGTTACCTCAGGATGCCGGCTTTCGAACGAACTCCCTTCCGGCTGCATGCAACAACTACACTCTGTGAAAAGATGACTACTTACTTAGCATGAGTTTTTCTCATCGATTTTCGATGCCCCTAAATGTCCAATTATATTTCATGAAAAACATTCCTAAAAATATTCATTCTTTTGCTCATTTTGTAGAAAATTACGTCTTCTTCCAATCTTATACTCGAAGGAAGGGTATAATTCGGTTTGCAAAAAAATCTTCCAATTCCCGAATAATTTTGAATCCAACCTGCTGTTACACTTGCATTCAGGGTTCCCAAACTACAAGCCTTATGATTCCTGCGTACGGAAAACCATAAATTTCTCTGCAGTAATAAAGTGGGACCATATAGGGTTCATAAAATCAGGCAGTGGATTTGACCTATATTGTTAACTCTACAAGCCACATTGGTAAATGCCGAGAGATGATGTTTTGTGAACGGCCATTTCACGGTATTAAAAGATCTCACAATTAGAAACTTTTTAAAACCAAATTATACCCTTCCTTCGAGTATAAGATTTGAAGAAGACGTAATTCTCTACGAACTGAGCAAAAGTAAATATTTTTATGCACGTGTTCCTTGAAATATAATTGAACCTTTAAGAGCATGGAAAATCAATGAAAAAAATGCATGCTATTTAAGTAGCCATTTTTTACGGAGTATGGTTTTTGGATGCAGCCAAAATGAAGTTTGTTCGAAAGCCGGCGTCCTGGAGTAACTGATTTTTTTATAGAATTATGCTGCATGACGATTAATTTTACAACCCTACTTAATTAGTCTTTTCGAAACGGAAACGCGCTTCGGAATTTCTGTTGACATTTCATGAGTTAACCCACCTACTGTACTAACTCATGAAGTGTTAGCCGAAATTCTCACGTGTGTTTTCGACTCAAAAAGATTACTTAAGAAGGGTAGTAATCTGAATTTCCTTGCAGAATAATCACAAGGTATTTCAGTTAGTTCGGGATGCCGGCTTTTGAACGAACTTCTTTTCGGTCGCCTGCAAAAATTACGCTCGGTAAAAAATAACTACTTAAGAAATGTGAAGTTTTTCCCATTGATTTTCGTTCTCCGAGTTGGGGAGAACAGTGCTTACGTACTTGTGTGAGAGCGGGAAATAGAAAAGGAATCGCTTTAAACATGAGGTTGACAAGATAACGATGTAATCTGGAGGTAAAGCGAGTGGCGTTCGGCACCAATACAGAAATCAAGCCTCTACCAGAGAGTATTCAATAAACTAAATATCGCTAACTCAGAGATTTATATAACGAAAGACCACCCTTAGGACCCCACCAATTCGACTAAACATCACAGTGAAAAAAACAGAGTAGAACTGCGTTCAAAGGCAGTAATGAATTCAAGCACTACATATGCAAACAACCTGCACTTCCAGGAATGTCCACGGCCTCCTTGGCGGTTGATTCTTCCATCTCAGGTTTGAAATATTGTCCCTCTGCCAAAAAACACAACTTGAAACAACAAAATGACAAACCTAAGACGTTCGACTGCATGACTTCTTCGGCAACAAGAGACAGACGCTTTGATACATTTAAGTCTCCTGTGAGTTCGCTTTTCGGGTTTGCACGTGCTTTCACTGACAAAAATAACGATGGTGGTCGCCAATCCTCACCGCTGTCTGTCCAGTCGTCTTCGCCTGATCCAGACTCCTGTTGGACAGACATTTGCCGGCACTGACGCTAACGATTAAACCAGACTTAGGTAGAACCAATTAAATCTTACAGGTAGAGTCGGCTGGACTGACTCGGTAACCTAAAACAGGCAATACAGACTGTTAGGATTGCGTTTTGTGCCTTTAAGCATCGATTGCGCGCGCGCCGTACGGTGGCAGTTAGTCCCTCCCATTAAACACAATGTGTGCAGAGAATATTAGTGACATGTGCGGACAAAGCATCATGCATACGGAGGGATGAATACAAGGTAGGACGCTTGAGTATGTCTACTTGACTGCAAAATTCGAACGCGCAGCTCTGAATGGTGCTTCATAGCTCAGGTGGTTAGAGCGTTGGCTGTACTCAAGCCCTCCCCCTCGCTGTCCTGGGTGCGAATTCCACCGAGTTTTTCACAGTTTGGTCAAAAAGAACTAATGGCTTCGTCGTTGGAAGAATGTTTAGACATTTCAGCCCTATAAACTCCTTATAAAGTAATGCTTTAAATTGTGGTAAATTACTCGGAATAAAGCCTCTCAAGCTTAGTCTGAAAATTGGTATTAATGTTGGGGCCGGAATGCACAAGTTTCGACGGGATAATCATGCAATATTCACAAGTTACCAACAGACACTCAGTAGTATACACGTGTTGTATGATTCGCCCCACTGACGGCATAGGTACTCGCAAGAAGCCCAGACACGTGTTTAGCCAATTTGCTGACGCTGTTTGACAGCCGCGAGGGGTTCGGCTCATCAGTGGGTCGCCTAGCGTCCCCCCATTTGATTTCTGTAGTTTTGAAACATAATTCGTGTCATGCAGCATCAGAAAGTCGGCGAGATACGTGCCTTGGCATTTATCTAGTACTTGTGCTGACAGTAGAACGAATCACAAAAAAAGGTCTAGACAGTAATTTCAAGACAGGAATGGGACGTTTCCGTGCTAAGATCAGCCTCCAAGGTCGTACGAACCATTCGTGATTCTGAAGTCGTGAAAAAGTATCCACTGCCAGGCGGCTATCTTTTTGCAGTCTTTTGAGCGAAAACGCCAGCACAATTTCAGCCCTTCCATCGTCCATAAGGAGCCGCTGCGTACTGAACTCATAAGACTCTTCAGGTCACAATCATTAGAAGTATATTAGTCTGGATGTTTGTGTCCGGCATTATTGTGTCTATCGGTACCCCAAATTGTAATGCTCTCAGATGAGCTCCCAATTTAAACAGACGAAAGTCACCTGGCGGTACATCGAACTCTGAACAGACCTTCGAATGTCCATAACAAATAGTTTTTTTCTAGTGCTACTCTCGACTCGTGCAAAACGTGCGCGGGAGCCGACGTCTTCAAATTTTTATCTGTAGCCGAATGCGAAATATGCAAGCCGGCCCTCTTCAAAGAAAGAATTGAACCTCACACCATACAACGCATTATTAGATCTCTCCTTGCACACACAACGTGAGGTCTTTCCAGTTGGTCGTTGCAAACACCTACCTCCAATCCCCGCCCTCCCCCACGCTGGAGGCATCTAGTTACCCGTATGTAAATGATGCCCACACTCGAAGTCAAATTGAAGACATCCTTAGCTCGGTTTTAGAAAGGGTCTGGCTGCATCTCTAAGTAAAAACCCGACTCTCTAAGTAAAAAAACCCGACCTACTGAGGAACTTCGCTACCTAACCTACCTCGACCTTGCTCTCCTCTCTAGCGGAGTGTCTTCCCTCTCCTACCTATGCAGTGCCACGCGACCCTCGCTCCCCCCCTCTGAAGGAGAATTCTTCAATGCCATACGAAAGCTACGCAACAATAAGGCACCCTGAGAGGACGGTATACACGCTGAGGTCTTCAAGTCTTGTGTCGACACTGGCGCCCTGGCTCCATGAGGTGATCGAACGAGCGTGGAGAGACGAGGTTGTTCCTGATGAGTGGGGCTTAGGCATCCTTGTGCCTACCCTCAAGAAGGGAGATAAGACTAGATGCGAGAACTACCGCGGCATAAGTCTCATCGGCGTTGCTGTGAAGATCTTCGCTATTGTGCTACGTAGGCGATTCCAGGCTGTGCGTGACTGAAGGACGAGACCCAACCAAGCCGAATTTCGTGCTGGACATGGATTCGCAGACCACATATTTACACTGAGGCGCATTCTCGAATTTCGCCATAGCTACCAACAACCGACGGCCGTCTGCTTCATCGACTTTGCCATCGCGTTCGATTCCGTTCATCGTGAGTCCCTGTGGCGGATAATGGGGCTAGATGGTGTCCCGCCAAAAATCATTGCCATGATCAAGACCTATTATCGCCACACTACTTCGAGAGTCCTGGTTCACAACAATCTTACCCAACCGTTCGGTATACGGTCTGGCGTTCGACAGGGATGTATCCTGTCACCCATACTGTTCAGCTGCGCTATTGAATGGATCCTCGGGAGGGCCGTACACGAAGGTAACGGTGTTGAGTTTGCACCTGGACACCGACTGACTGATCTCGACTATGCCGATGATATTGCCTTACTTGCCTCAAGTTTTGGTGATCTGCAGTCTATGGTGTCACGAGTGAACAAGGTCGCTAAATTGGTTGGTTTATCCATTAACGCTGGGAAGACCAAAGTGTTTTCAAGCTGCATCCCTGACCAGAAAAAAGCACCCTTCGGGATTGATGGCTGTCAACTTGAAGAAGTAGACAGTTTTAAATACCTTGGGACGAGGCTGCTGCCTAATGGACAGAGTGAGGACGACATTGTCTCCCGAATCGATGCTGCTCGCCGGGTTTTCTCAAGCCTTCGGAAATGCCTATGGATCCGACGTGACCTTTGCATCGCCACTAAGATTCGCGTGTACCGTGCATCTGTCCGGTCTGTCCTTCTCTACGGTTGTGAATGCTGGGCTGTGCGCGTGGAGGACGAGCGAAAACTGGAGGTATTTGAGCACCACTGCCTGAGGACCATCCTTCGAGTGAAGTGCACCGACTTTGTCTCAAATGAGACAGTCCGCGCTCGCTACGACAACATCGCAAGGATAACTCAGACCACTCAAGAAAGACGACTAAGGTGGTTCGGGCATGTTCTTCATCGTCCACCTCAGAAGCTCAGTGTTACTTCCATCGATCCGGCACCGCTACCCATTGGAGGCGTCGAAGAGGGAGGTCAGTTCAATACCTGGCTCGACACAGTTCGTCAAGACATGGAGGTGGTTCTTGGACCTTCGGTATTCGATCTACGTCGTTGGCGAAGGGAATGGGTTGAGCTGTCCAGATCTGCTGTCGCGGATCGTCACGCGTGGAGAGGTACAGTTCGTGACATCATCGAGGCCGGCTAGATTAGGCATGATCGCAGCCGTATCAAGTACAAGTACCTACTGAGGGACAGGGCGAAGACCGTCTCAGGACACCTGCTACAGTAATGGCTTTTTGTCTGACTGTATCCAGCCGCGTTGACAAGCTGTGGCAGGCAGTGACTGGCGCCATGGCGTCTTCAGTCAAAACCAACTAAATTTGACTCTCGACGGGGGGGGGTTAGTGCATAGCAGGTGTCAGCGCCAGAATTGGAGTTCTGACGAAAGGATTCGACTCGTTGCGCGCGCATCTGCAATCTATCCACGTTGCCGAAGCCTATGAGGTGGGAACTAATGCCCGGCAGATGTATCCGCAACGGACTGCGCGGTCAAAGTGTTTGAAATCTGAAGCGGGTCTCAGCTAATATTTAGGGCAAGATTTTGGAGGCACGTTAATTCTCGAGTAAGTTTGGCTCATCTGCTAGAAACAATGAGGGTGGAGTGATGGCACCCCCTAGCTGGAGCGGCACTCTGGTTGGATGTGTACAGTGCGTGACCTATCTCATGAAATGTTGGCTGAAATTCTGAAATGCGTTTATGATTAGGAAGGATTACTTGGTCGCGGTTGTGATACTGATTATCTTAAGGCATACTGTTATAACATTTTGGACTCGGCAGAATGTCTGCTTTTAAATGAACTTCTTTTCAATCTCCTGTAGGAAGCGTGCTCGGTAAAAAATGACTACTTAAGTAGCATGTATTTTTCCAATTGATTTTAGATGGTCTTGAAAATTTAAATATATTTTATAGAAACCACAAACAAAATATGCTTTCTTTTAGTCAATCAATAGAGAATGACATCTTTATATTTTGTACTTCAGGAAGGAGTATAATTAGGTTTTTAAAAAGTTTTCTAATTGCCGAAAAATTTGGAGCCTGATCATTTGTTGCATTAGCGCTTAGTAATTACACTCTACAAGGTGCATGCGTTCCGCGTAAAGAAAATCACATATTTTTCTGTGTCATTAAATAGATATCATACAGGGTCCATAAAATTTTGCAATGGATGCGGACCATGTTGTACCTTTCATGAGGAGCAGTGGTAAACGGCCAGGTACGATGCTATGTGAATGGACATATCGAGGTCTTAAAAAGTCTCATAATTGGAAACTTTTTAAAAACCTAATTATACTCCTTCCTGAAGTACAAAATATAAAGATGTCATTCTCTATTGATTGACTAAAAGAAAGCATATTTTGGTTGTGGTTTCTATAAAATATATTTGAATTCCCAAGACCATCGAAAATCAATGGGAAAAATGCATGCTACTTAAGTAGTCATTTTTTTTACCGAGCACGCTTCCTACAGGAGATTGAAAAGAAGTTCATTTAAAAGCCGACATTCTGCCGAGTCCAAAATGATATAACAGTATGCCTTAAGATAATCAGTATCACAACCGCGACCAAGTAATCCTTCCTAATCATAAACGCATTTCAGAATTTCAGCCAACATTTCATGAGATAGGTCACGCACTGTATATTGTCCATCTTAGCCAAGCTGGACAGACCTTCCAGGCGGATGTTCGCTTTGTGAACTCTCATATATGACCGCAGCGACAGTATACTATTTCAGGTGGAGATATTTTATGTGCCGGCGGCAGTAAGTCACAGTAAAGTAACTAATGAGAAATGCCCTCCAAGCAGCGGAACATCAGACCCTGGAACGATTTAATATCCAAAGTGGTCACAACAACGACAGATCAACGGCATTAACTTCCTGGCTACTGACGATGCCTCTATGGTGCTCAGTAGTGGGCAAAACATTCCAGTGCCCACTTCACACGACGCATGAAAGAAAAGAATTACCACCCCCATCGAAACCCCGCCTACATATCAGAGTCTCCGGTGATTAAGTTAATTTATGGTGGTAGTAGCAGTAGTAGTGGTAGTAACAGTCGTAGTAGTAGTACTAATAGTAGTAGTAGGCTCGCTCCGCGTCGATCGCAATCTCCTTTCCCTAGCCCACCTGAAGCCGGTGTCAAAGAGGAGCCAAGTAGCAGCAGTAGTAGCAGCAGTAGCGGTGGTAGCAGTAGCAGGAGTGCAAATAGAGGTAGTAGTTGTTGTTTTTGTAGCATTAGTAGTAGTAGTAGTCCTGGTCCATTGTTGTGGACCAGGGGTGCGATGGTACGCTTATGTTCGGGTCCGGCCGTGCCAGCCACCTGCACCCTCTCCCGCCTCCGCTCTTCTTGACTCCGTCCTGACATCGGGCGAAGGTTGGGGAGGAGGAGGAGGAGGAGGAGGAGGAGGAGGAGGAGGAAGAGGAGGAGGAGAGAGGGGTAGATACAACGTAAGTCCACTATCACTATCGAAGAACTCCCCCATAAATCACCGTGCTGCTTAGTACACGGTGGACATCGTCCGCAACGACAGTCGAACTGCCAGTAAAAGTACTAGTAGTAGTAGTCCTGGTCAATTGCTGTGGACCAGGGGTGCGATGGTACGATTAGGTTCGTGTCCGGACGTGCCAGCTACTTGCGCCCTCTCCCGCCTCCGGTCTTCTTGACTCCATCTTGACATCGGGCGAAGGTTTTGGAGGAGGATGAGGAGTAGTAGTAGTAGTAGTAGTATTAGTAGTAGTAGTAGTAATAATAATAATAATAATAGTACTGGGCCTGCACCGCGTCGGTGGCACTCTCTCCTCCCTAGCCAGGCCGGCGTCAAAGCAGAGTCAAGAAGACCGGAGGCGGATCGGACGCTGCGACTTAAAAGGTTAAACCGCCTGTCCGCGTGTGACGCACACGCCTGATCTCCACACAAGGGACTGCGGTTTCACAGAAACAAGAAGGCGGCTCGGATCTCAACTGAGAGGGAGTGTCATAACGGCCACATTAAGACGGAGCCACTGCAGCCTGACATTCCGTACTGAGAGGAGCTCGGAGTATTCCGATAAGTTGTCAGCCTTTCAAACTATAGCATTTGGCGCACCGTGACAGTTTTAAAGCGCATTAGATTGTTCATAGTGAGGAATATGCACTGGATGCCATGAGAACGCAGCCCTCCAGAGTCGACCATACTCTCCCAGGCACTTTACCCACCGCCTCTAAAGGTAGTTCCTGGTGTCTGAAGCCTGTCTCATTATCGCACCAAAGGTTTCGCTTCATTTGCAGACAAGTCACTTAACTCTCTCCCCTAGACAAGGCAGTCGCTAGGCACAAGTCAACGTCCGGCTTGAGGCTCTGACAGTTCTTCGCTCCCTGCCAGCCAATGTGGATGCGACGGCCGCTGTCGAAAATTCAGACGTGGAGGGACACAGGGACAGCAAAGAGAATAAACTTAAGATGACTTGGACTCTTTAGTATATTGGCTTTACAATTTGGAAATTTGCATTTTAACATGACGAAATTTTACCCTTCGTTGGAAAAAAGATATGAAGTTGAAAACGGTAGTGAAATGCACAGTAGGTGGGCTAAATCATGAAATGTCAGCCGAAATTCCGAAATGCGGTTTCGTCTCGAAAAGATTAGTGGATTTGAGCCATATTGCTGACTTTACGAGCCACATTGGCGAATGCTGAGACAGGACGTTTTATGAACGGCCATTTCACGGTATTAAAGAATTTCACAATTAGAAACTTTTTTAAAACCAAATTTTACCCTACCCTCGAATATAAAATTGGAGGAAGACGTAATTTTCTAGCGAATGAATATTTTAATCGGTGTTTTCCATGAAATATAACTGGAGTTTTAGGAGCATCGAAAATCAATGAAAAAATGCGTGCTATTTAAGTAGTCATTTTTTACAAAGTATAGTTTTTTGTGTGCAGCCGAATAGATGTTCGTTCGAAAGCAGGCATCCTGAGGTAATTGGTTTATCATATAATTATGCTGCAAGGCGATTAATTTTACAACCCCACTAAAATAATCTTTTCGAAACGAAAACGCATTCCGGAATTTCGGTTGACATTTCACGAGTTAGCCCATCTACTGTAATTACGAGTGGTGTCTATGAATCCTGAAGTGGGAAAGTCAAGCATTCGAAACTGCACCGACTTGAGGTTTGGGTGGTGTGACTTCACTAAAAACACCTTAGGCGGCAGCTTCAAGGCAAAACAAAACGTTGCATCCTGTCTCTGTCACGTTGGCAAACTCCACTCCCTGGCGACCATAGAGAGTTGATTGCAACAACAAACTGCAGACCCCTGAGTAAAGCAGCAGAGCGGTAAGTTCCATAACAACTCTTTGTAGTCTGAGTCGGCTTTGATTAGCCCAACTAAGTGATAAATGATCAATTTAATCTGAATTTTCTCATTTGGCAACACTGAAAAGACTTGAAATGTTGACAATTTATTTGGCGCACCGGGCTATAATTCGCACTGTCAATTATTTTCGTATGCCCTCCTAGCAAATGGAAGCCTAACTAATGAGCAACTTCTTGGACGAAGCCCGAAGGTCTACGGATGCCCTGGGTGAAAACCGACGTTTTAAATGCAGGTCATTCCTGGTTTGTGGATACGGTTCAAGATCCATGATATATGTACACTGCCACAGACTGCCATGCATGTAGACGTAACTTATGCGACGTCATCCGGGTCAGTGAGATCAGGAACCACCAAGGTCATGACAAATACGTGTGAATAGCACACTGACGCCCCCCCCCTCCACCAAAACCGCCGATGAGCATGGTGAATACTTCTACTTCAAATCGTCCTGGGACCGAGCTTTTATCTGTGGCTCCATAAAGTCGTGCCCAGCACGGTGGACACGCTCCATTAACTCCCCTTCGCCACAAGGGGGTGTCTGGCGTGTGTGTCTTCACACCCAGTAATCCCCATACCTCTTCTCCACCCCCACCCCCCCACGAAAATGTCCTACAATGGGGGTGACATGCGATCCCTTTGGCAAAGTAATGACTTAGGTCAGACCTCGCCTGCCGCCTGGGATGGCTCAGCGGCCCCAGTTAGGGACAGCACTGCCTACCCTTTTGAGTAAGAGAGGTAAATAGAAAAGTCGTTTTAATAAACACGCCGTCGGCAAGCTGAAAACTGCATTTGGACGTGCAAGAAGTGGCTAAAACAACATCCCCGTCCCGTTCCATTGAGCCTTCCTACAGTCCGTCTGAATGACAATGCTCATTCCCTTTTAGACACTCCAATCGCAACCCGGTCTGAATGGAGAACAACTCTGGTCGCCCACGCACAGGCATCTTATAAAGTGGACATGACCGTTCTCGGTGAGACCCAATATCCCCGAACAAGGACAACTGAATGAGGTGGGGCTGGCTAAAGCTCTTTCAAAATCGGATGTCCAGATGCAGAACAACGAGATGTCGGAGTCGCCTTTGTTGTCTTGAATGACATCGTGAGACGGCCCTTCTGCCCGCCGCAGGAACTGACGATTGTTTAATGCCCTTTCGCACAAGCAAATTCGCCACACTTATCACCGCTTAAACCCCCTTCAAGTACGTGTCCCTACAATGGAGAAAAAAGAAATTCTACAGAGTTGAACGGCTGAATAGTATCCCCGAACAAGCACAACTGAATGAAGGGGGTGCTGGCTAAGTCTCTTTCAGAATCGGACACTAAAATTCAGAATAAAGAGATATCAGTGTCGCCACAGGATCGGCAGCTGCGTACACAATGCGATCTCCCTACACGCCGTGGGTTCGATAACTTCTGCCAATGCCTGATCCACCATCACAAGGACTAACAAACAGCCTGTCTCTATAACGACCCTCTAGAGATACTTCCACCTGGTTGTCTGACGAAAGCTGACCGCCTAACCTCGGTCGGCTCCTTTCATTGGTGAAAATAGACAACTTTTCTGTGGTATTCGCCGACTAAATATACAGGTGGGAATTAAAGATGGACGATGCGTCCCCCTCACGTGGACACCAATGACGATCTAGATCATCAGCCCTTCGTGCAAGAGGCAACAGCTGCCCAACAGAAGAACACCAAGCACTGATGCACTTCCAACTGGACTTTACAAATGCAACGAATGTCAACTCGTGAACAAGCTTACTTCACCGTTCTAGGAAATGCGGAAATACGGACATATTCCCTCTGGACCTCAGGGGCGCCATCTTCACACATCACGCCTGATAAGGGCGGCATCGACTATGTCGAGAATGTTATCTCACAACGGCTGACGATCTACGGCAGCGGGGCTGGAGCTTTTGTCCCATTTTCTCCTCCAATGACGGGAAAATCACTTCTATGCCTCTGCGAATTGGGTCGAGCCAGATCTTGAGAATAGCTCCTCCTTGACACCTCTATTTTGGCATCAGCGACCGATCAAGGGGAGAAGAAAAAGAACGCGTCCAAACTACCTCAGTCGCCTTTCGTTAATCGCCTGAGACACAAGCTGTCGCAGGTAATACGAGTAAAAGTAGATTTACTTAACTCTGAGGATGATTCTCAAGCAATGGTGACCGAGGACTTCCATTTTTCGCTAATCTGCGTGCACAAACCAGGTTTTCGAATGGTAGTGCAAGGTTAATCCGGAAATGTGGCATCGGGTTCATGGGCACTTCCCTAGGATTGCTTTCGCAATCGCAGCATCGTCTTCCTCAACATTGCGTATAAAATCTCCGATTTCTACCAAGCAACTTTTTCACGCGTCTGGGCTAACGCTCAAACCGCACGCGCCCACCCACGACCGCAAAGTCCTAAGCAAAAGGCGATAAGCGAACTCCCAGACGGCCCCGACTAAATCGGGCTGCCTACCCACTGCAACGGAGTCCTGACTCATCACATCGGAGTTCGGCAGCCGCCTGGGATGACTCAACAGCCCCATTTACGGGCGGCACTGCTAACGTCTCCCCTCTCCCCTCTGAGGCGAAGGCAACCAGACGATGTGACCTGAAAGACGCTCGGCAAACACGCCATGGGTGAGCTGACCGTGGATTGGGGTTGTGAATTTCGTGCTCGGAACAATACTAACGTAACGTTAATTGCGTCTCACCGCAGTCTGATAGACTGAAAACGTACGTCCTGGCAGTCTGGAATGTTTTATCCCTTGAGACGAGGAAGTGGGCAATCGGCCGGAAATGAGGACAGCTGTGGTTGCCCGGGTACTACTGGCCTGCTACAAACTAGACATCGTAGTTCTCAGTGAAACCACCCTCACCAAACAAGGACAATTGGACAAAGTGGCTTCTGGCTAAACCTCCTTCAAAGGTGGACGTCCAAAGGCAGAGCGACGAGGAGGCGAAGTCGCCTTTGTTATCAAAAACGACGTCCGGAGACGGTCGTCCAGCCTGTTTCACGGAATTTGCAATTGCCTACTGGCCATTAAAAAGTCGGTCAGCGCGAACAAATCGGGCACTCCCTTCATCGTCTAAGCTTCTTCAGTTACCAGCCCCGACGACACGAACGACAAATTCCATAAGGAATTAACTCCCACATCTCAACGACAAACTGGTCGTCCTTGGTGACTTCACTGACCGCGCAGGCAGAGACCCCGATACCTGCATTGGCAGCTACAACGGCAATGGCATCTTTCTCCGGTAAGTTTGAATAGGACACAATCTCCTCTTCGCTGACACCTGTCTCCGCCTTACGATCTGAGGGAAGACAAAGTGGATGCTTGCGTCACTGGCGGTTTCTGGATTTCGCGTTCGTCTGGAGGCCTAACCAGCGTGATGTGCTGGTGACCAGGTCGACGTGCGGTGCAGTGTTGGACGGACCACCGTAACTGGCACAATCGCCGAGGCATTTTCTTCCCTAGCACCGCAGGCAAAATCTCCGCCAGAGTTCTACAGAATGACCTGAACACAAAGTCGACACCGAGAATACTGTGGAAGTAAGGGCACGATTTACACGGTCCACCTACTGCAGGATAAAGTCCAGGGAATTCGGATCGAGCTTTACACAACTTCCATGGATCTAACGAACACCTTCGACACCGTGAACACTGATGTACTCAGGAAAATTCTGTCTTCTGTTCGAAGTGATACACGACGGGATGACAACTCGAGTCACATACAACAGGTCGGTCGGGAATTCGAGGTAACATATGACATGAGGCATCTTCAATCACCGTCAAGCTCATGGCCCTTCCCGTAAGGATAGACTGGGAGTCAAAATCCCCTACCGAACCGACGTGTGATGTCGTATACAAGAGTCATCAAGGACAATTTCCGCGACCTGTTGTTTGCGGATGACAGTCCAGTAAATACCACAGCATAAGCGGACATTGAAGGCAACGTCAACCTATTCGCATCAGGCTGCACAAACTTTGCACTGACAATGAGCACGTACATCGCAATGACCATGCGTCAACCAGAGCCAAACAATAACTACAACGAGCCAAGGACTGACGTCAATGGAACTCGCCTCACACACGTCCACCAGTTGGCATGTATTGAAGGTACCACCTTCAGAAATCCTAATATTGATGACGAAATTGCAAGGTCTATCTCAAAAAGCAGGTCGGCCGCCGAAAACGCTTCGACCGAAATTGCATTTGCATTCTTCTCATTAGGAGACTGAGCACACATAAGGCAGTTGGTTTGACAACTCGCCAGCACAGAGCAAGAACAAGGACAGTCTAGGAGATCTAAGCACCGAGGTCAAATTACTATCAACTTGGTTGCCCCCCAAGGTCAGGTGGCAGAACTACCGGAATGGACCGGCGTCCTCCGTATTTACACCGCGTTAGAGTGATCCCATGGCCAGGACCTAGACTGCACAGTTCTCAGCGTCTGTATCACGCTGGATTAGGACGCCCACGCGGTAAGGGTGGCTGATAAATGGCTGGTTAAGTTTTTAATCACAAACAAGACAGACCACGACGAAGACTTAGAGACATCCTGAAGAACACTCACAGGCAACTGTAGGCTAGGTCTTAAAGACTAGATAAGCCGTCTTCTAACACAAAGAATGGTAACGACCAAGGCAGAAATGGTAGCTTGCAAGACTCAGGTGTCGCGGAATGGGGACGCAGGTACCCAAAACCCTTATCAACGGACATCCACAGAATTAAATGCCTTCGCTAGACATCTACGGATCCGGTGCAATGCCAAAGTGAAAAACCAGCCTCCCTCTCCACCACTACTGCCACAAGCACCGACAGGGACACAGCCAATTAAACCTGCAATCACCATCAACGCCCCTTCCACCAGATATGTGCACTCTATTCCAAAATCTCACAACTGCGACGACACTTCCGAATCATTAATCTGTCTGGCGGTCAGCTGCAAGTCTATCGCACCAACGAACCAGAGCCCGAGGCCCCAACAGAGACCCGTCACTCAGATCTCAGCTGCCAACACTGCCCCTGGCAAACCAGCCATTGCATGGGCCTACTTCGCTGCATGCGCATTCAGGAAAACCTTTATTCGAACAACATGGTCCAGAATTCATCACAGTAACTCGTCCAAAATACACACACAAACATTCCTAACCACATACGAAACTACTCCACAACACGCGCATATGCGATGTCTGTCAGCAAGATATCAAGTCCACAGCATAGATGTCGGCGTCAGTGCAACGGGCAGAGCGTTGCATGTGAAAATTTGCACATCTTAGTCACGTGGAAGGCGTGGAAGTCGGCGTAACCTGCGGAGCCAAGGAGCGGGTCGCGTATAGCATGCGTAACAGAGCTGTTCAACTTCGTCAGCCATTTTACCTAGTTTCAGTTCCCAGTGGCTTGACTCGGAAAGGCGTGAAAGTAAGGCCGATATTGGGGAATCAACCTCTGAGGCAATTCATCACATTTCTCTCTATAACCAATCTGACGTGCTGTGAAGATTGCCAATTTACTCGTCGAAGCCGTCCTTCTTAGGACGGCGGGGCACACTGTAATGACTATTGCTATTATCTGTGTGATATCCCACACACTAGTAAACGAGTTAGTTGGCTGTCAGCCACTGCGCCACAATCCCAGAAATAACCGCAATTACCAGTATCAACGCTATGCTAAACAGGAACAACTGCGTTAGAGCGACCACATGTTGAAGATAGCCGACAACATTCTGACGAAATTACTATTCTAGGTTGACATCGCCATTCATAGACGACTCACACACCATGAAGACCTATCCCCGCATCAGACTGAAATTGGTAATAATGTAGGCATCCATGAAATCAGCATGTGGGTGTTTTAAGGCGTGTGTGTATGTTATCGGGATGGGGGTTTCCAGCTGTGGGTCTACGTGACAATCGTAGTAATTCACTCACTTGCTTACAGGTATTGGCTACGCCTAGCGTCAATTAACTGACACCTGACTCTCACATGTGGCTCCCAGAAGCTCTGTCTAGCGACCAAAGCACGGTGACCGCCTCGATCGGCGATCTAAATAAGGTAAGAATATCTGTGCGTGCATCCCAACAAAAGGTCATACCGCTTCTCCCTTCACGACTTTCCCACGTTCGGAAGCCCTACGGCCAGAGCGACAGCAATTACGTAGGCGTCCTAGGCCATTGGTTCTGCCCTCACTAAATCCTGTCACTCATAGTGGAGAGCGATATCACTCTGGTGTGGCAAAGCAGTGCTATTTAGGGAGAACACATCTTCCCCGCCAAAAGGAGGGGACTATGAAAGGTGCCCTAAACAAAACCGGATTGACAACTGCGCGCAGATCGTGGCTCGTAGATTCACGGACGCTGCATCTGAATACAGTTGATCATATTGTGCGCATCCACTAAGTCAGCCTACCCGAACAGGCCACTTGGTGGATGTGCTGGACCAACACGGGGACCATATCGGACTGTGGCCTGGTTGACAGAAATATTTGAGTAAACTTAGGGACATTAACAGAGATGCCACAGTCCAACGACTATGCACAACGTCTACATTCTTATGATGCAAATAGGCAAGCCTGTAATGGGGTTAGAAGTCTATCCTTGGATGGAGAAATGGCAAGGGAATTTTGGAAATTAATTTGCACAAAAAATGGCGGTAATCTGCTACTGATCATCAGTGATTTTCTAGGGCAGAAGGTCGCCTGAAGACATAATTCCCTACGATAGAAGCACAAAAATGAATGTCTTGTACACGGTTTCTATAGCATATTTTTGGCTTAATGAAGGTATTGGAAACAAATTCGAAAAATCATACTGACTACGCAGACACGTCTGGTGAGTCTGATGTTCACACCTGGCTAGGCAGGCGAGAATTTAAAGACCAGCATCCTGGCCTGAATTAAATACCATCGGACTGGACTGCCTGCTGATATGTACTGCAAACTTATTTGAGTGATACGTTATGAAACTCTTCTTTCGAATTTCAGTCAACAATGTGTAAGTCGCATCAACTGCGGTAAGACAGAAAAGAGCTGGGACATTCCTTACATGAAAAAACAAATAATAATTAACAATGTCTATCCCACGGATAATCCATAAGGTTCCTATGACGGAACACGGAAACATTCGGCCGTTGAGCGTGATTAAAGCAGGTAGAAAGCTTAGCGAGCTTATGAGCAGAACAGTCTTCTTTTTTACCTTTTTAAAGACACTTTAGGTTGGGTGGAAAGACCACAGATGTCAGCAGCACCCGGAATGAAACCGAATGAGAGGAGGGAGGGCCGAGAAAAATGAATGGCATTCTGTATGTCATCAGGTGTTTTCCTGCTAGGTGTCAATACGAACTGCGTTTTAGATGACACCATATTTTGAAGCCGCAGTCGGCTTCATTTGTATACTTCAATATGTATGAATATTCATATTTACGGAGCAAATGGGCATAGTGTGAAACAGTAGCACTAGAGCCAGACGACTATGTAACCGAGCCAATGAAAACCACGGTTACTTAGAAAAGGCTGGATCCACAGTCTAAAGTGAGAGGTCACATAATGGGTGATGAGGTTTTCGATGGGAAACTTATCAATTACTTTGTCATATGCTTCTCACGGTCAATAAAGACGACATCGATTATTTCAACATCAGATAGATGGTGAGAGGCGACTGACTTTAAGAAAGCTACAATGACTGCAACGAATGAAATTATGCTGAATAAGAAATAAGTAAAGATGATAGATAAAGAAGCACACCTTGACATTAAACAAAATTTTAGACGGCTGATTGCAAGTACTTCTCAGTTGCACTTTGCTAACCTAGTAAATAGGCTCTGGTGTCGGTATTTTGGATCGACGCCCTGTCTAACACTATACTGTAAGAGCTTATGCAAGGAAGTAGTCGAAACTTGGGTCTAGTGTGTATACACGAGGTAAGTCGAGTTAGGTTACGTGGTAACATTAACGATGCATTAAGGATTTACTTCACATATTGCAGTGTGTGAAAAAAATTCTAAATGCATGCATTCTCCAAAATGGAAAAGGGATAATTCCATCGGTTTATTTAAGCAGAATGACGGAGAGAAATGTTCGGCCAGACAATCGACCGTTTCCCTAGGGGTCATTCGAATGACTCCAGTAGATCTACTGGAGTCATCACATTTAAAGCAATATTGTTTGCTGGATCTTACTTGAGTAACGCCGAATGCAGTTTACATACCTAGGCTGCGCAAAAAGCTGCAAAAGCAAATTTTTAAAATGGCTACCAGACGCCGGCTGGCGAACCCCATCGACGGCTGAAAGAGGTTTGGTGTTCAAGATAGCGATATTTTAAATCACCTGTAGTGTCGGAGTGCGAAGTGTTTGAAGTCAAATATATCGATATTGCAAAGCATTGCAAAATTAAACAGCGGCACAATAGATTACTCCAAAATCACAGCTTTCTGGTCAAGTGCAATAAGAATGTCCCGTGCGCGCGTTAGTAAGGAGAACGGAAGAATATAATTTCCTGTCGACCTCGCCTCTTCTCCAACCCTATCGCAAAATCGGTAACAAATATATATGCAAGCATATATACTTGCTCCAAATGTAGGGCATCAAAGCTAACTGGAGGTAAAGTGACCTGAAAACTGGCTAATATAAGAAGCCGTCGAACCAATGACCGAGTTTTAATGCATACAAAAAATAAGCGTACGTCCTCCTTCACCTCCAGCATTACAGTTGGAAACGTCCCCAAGATTTTATCAAATTGTTGAGATTAATATGAGCAGCGTGCTGGTTGGCTAGTGTGAAACGCGTCCTTAAGATTGAGTGGTTTAAAGAAGATGATCAATTCTAGGCATTTGCAATTTTCTTCGATGCAAAAAGGGTTCAGAACTACAGAAGATCCAAAAACTCCGTGTTTGGTTAATTAAAGCTGATCACACACTAAATCTGTGACATTTTAGTGTCCGGTGAAAGATAAACTTTATCCGTAAATCCTTGAATTTAAATGTACTGGCGACCTGGATTCACGTCTTTCTGTCCTCTCAAGATTCTTTGCAATAATTCGCCAAGTCCGATCAATGGATATCTTCAGAATCCTAGCCAGTTTGCAGTAAATAGGACTAGTTGGATAGCTGCGGATACTGAGTGTAACCGCTAAATCGAAGATATCTTTGTGCGGAATTGCATAGAGATATGTGGTTTGAAGGAAGTAGGGAAAACCAAAAAGAATTTGATGCCGGGGTAGGAGTTCTCTTATGTATGGCAGATAGTCAACTATGCAAAACTGCCGACTCAAACCGTTGAAAGTTTTATTAGAACACCGTATATTTTAAGCTAAAGTGGATAATCTAATGTCATAGCACTGGATTTTTTTAATAGTAATGGGAGAACTGCGAGTGGAAATCCAATTGTACAAAGTCAGTATAATTCAATATATACGAGGGATAGAGGCAGAGCCTTGGAAAACCCTATTGACAGATAGACGTATGAAATAAAAACATGCAGATATTAACATAGCAGTTATGCCAGTCATTGTTAACATGTAAATGTTTGACCAACAAGCATGAATTTATCTAGTCTTCTTTTGAAAGTTTCAATGTTTTCCGCAAAGACAACGGAGTTCGGCAATTTGTTCCATCCCTCAACCAGCCGTTGACAGAAGAATTTGGCCCGCAAATTGAATCTGGCATGTTTCGTCTTCAATTTGTATGGGTGCACTCGGAGATTTGTCGTCCGCGCCAGTTCGAAGAAGTCGTCAAACTGAAAAGCACAGTCTAGCCCTCGGACGATCCTGAAGGACATGATCATGTCCCCTCTGTACTGTCTATAAGAGAGAGGAAATATTTTTAGCTTCTCCAGCCGTCTCTCGTAAGTTAAGCCACATAATCTGCCGACTAGCCTGGTCGCTCTACGTTCTACGTTCTCCAGTAGGGTGTAATCTTTTTTCGTCCAGGGACACCATGCCTGGACACAATATTTCAACATTGGTCGAACGTATGCGCCAAATACTCGGCCGAAAAGTTCTTCATCAAAATTGACGAAGGATCTTCTAATCGCGCCTAGAATACCCATAGCTTTCTTTGATACCTTAGCGCAATGAGATGATGGTTTGAGAATTGACGTCATCCACACACCGAAGTCTCTTAACTCGTTGACTGATTGGAGTTGGTGACCTCCTATAAAGTACTGAGATTCAATTCTTAACGGCCTCCCGTTGCTCGAACGTAATCGGATAAGTTGACATTTGTTACGATTGAGGCTAAGACACCACTCATCACACCATTTTTGCAAACGATTTAAATTGTCTTGTAATTGTACAGAATCTTCCGGCTTCTCTATTGATTGCCACAATTTGAGATCGTCGGCAAACATAACTCGCTCGCAGTTCAGACAGTCCAGGCAGTCGTTCACATATATAAGGAACAGAATTGGACCCAGAACGCTTCCCTGCGGAACGCCACTGTGCACGGATGCCCATTCCGATTTAGCGTTCCCGATACACACACGCTGAGATCTGCCCGTAAGAAAATCGGCTAGCCATTTCAGAAGATTTCCACTCACACCCACTTGACGTAGTTTACATATAAGTCGTCTGTGTGGAACACTGTCAAAAGCCTTTTTGAAGTCGATGTACACGGCGTCGACTGATAAGCCCATGTCAATTGATTTTGTCCAGCTTTCCATGGATACTAGGAGGTTGGTGAGACAAGATCGACCGCTTCTGAATCCATGCTGATGTAGACTGAGCAAGTTGTTTTCTTCGAGGTGCCGCATCAGCTCCGTTTTTATTACTCTTTCCATCAACTTGCAACAGATGCTAGTGAGACTCACTGGTCTGAAACTATTTGGGGCTGTTCTCTCGCCACCTTTATACATTAGACTTATATTTGTTTTCTTCCAGTCGGTAGGCAAGGCCCCGCTCTTCATCGAAGTTTTGACGATCTTGGATAACGGAGAGGCCAGATGGTCTTAGAGTTCATTCAGGACTTTTACGAACACGCCGTTCGGAGCAGGGGATTTAGTGGGCTGTAGTTGACTCAAAGTTTTTTTTACCGTGTCTGTTGTGAAGTCCACCGTGATAATTGTACTGTTTGATTTGACAATTGGGGGGTAAACTCTTTCATCAAAAGCCGGCCCCTCAGTATACACAGGCGTGAAGAAGTCGGATAACAGATTCCCCTTATCTGAGTTATCAGACAACGTATTTCCCTGGCGATCTTTTAGGCAGGGAATGCAGTCCCGTTTGCGTTTTGCCTTATTCACGTATTCAAAGAATTTTTTGAATTTTGCGGGATATTTTTTAATTGTGCCCGTTCCCTCTTCAACAGATTCCGACATACATTCCTCTGTTTTTTGAAGTCAGCGAAATGCTCTGGTTGCTGATTAATGCCGTACATTTTCCAAAGTCTCTCTTTCAATTTAAGGTTCTTCTTTATTTCTGACGTCACCCACTCTGGTCTGGATGTGCGCGGCCTCCTATTCAGTGGGCAACAGCTCTCTACCAAGTGCTGCATTACGTTCTTGAAGAAGAGTCAATCGCTTTCTGGGTCAGATCCTTGTGCTGCATTCCAGTTCACCTTCTGCAGCACTGTTGGGAGATAGAGTTGTTGAGGCATGCATGTAAATCGGGTATGTATGATAATAATTCAAATTGGCGAATACGAATTATTCGTCCCTTTTTTCGGCCTAATTGAAGCGATTCATTTGTTTAGTACTGCAGTCGGGGCTTGATGATGATAAAGATCGAGAAGGATAATGCGCGATAAATTGTTTATATCGAGGAACACACGTCGAAGTTGACCCCACTCTTCTTTTTCTGTCCAAACCACCAGCACATCACCCGAACCAGTCGGCCAGCCGATGCGCGAATTGGACGCAGTTACCGGCAAAACGTATCAGCCCGTCTGCGCATGCCAGAGACCATTTGCCCTTACATACAAAAGATATGATTTCACACGTGAGGGGTTGCGTTAGATTTCCGTAGAAGCCGCAAAGCTAATGTGTTTACCCTGCCAGCACATGGCCCCTTCATAGGCGAGGCTGGGAAGTGGCTGTGCGGGGCCAGAACCCCCTTTGGATTGAAAAATTTTGAATCGTATTTGCATCAAAAGTTATGTTTCAAAAGCACCACTCATTGTACTTTCTCTGGTATTAAAAGGAACTAATTTATCAAAAGTGGCTTATAAATCATGGAAAAAGCATTTGTTTATGCCGACGGGTCGCGGATAATGTCGTGCGTTAACCAATGCTGTTTTCATGCTCTTAATAACTGTCTTAGTTAAGTTATGTATCTTATGCCAATTGTTTGGGTATTTACTCACAAACCAGTTCAAGTAGTCGACTTGTAGTTCTATGTATGTACTAGTTAGCATTGGTGTTCATAGTCCACCTATACAAATTTTTAATCATTTTTTACTGAATATCCAAAGCAATTATGAAGCGTAATTACTGTGGCTCTCACCGAACCACCATATACAAGCACATTAAGCGCCAGATGAAGGCATATTATGAGGCCACTGAAGAGCCTGAGTCTGAGGTTCTTTCAACATCGACAGCAGTTGGAAATCAATCCCCTGAACGAGAAATGCCTATTCTGGGCTCTGAAACTTCTGCCGGCAGGTATTATGTGTGTGCGCCTCAGGGGACTCATCATACAGGTCGATATTTTAAAGGAGTGTCAAATGTGGGTGGAAATCTGGCGTCCCCTGCGCATTTTTTCGCTGGTGTGGCCAGGCGGGGCTGTCGTGTTGAATTCCCCGTCACAGCCCCTTCTACAGTCCCACCAAGCCCCTTCATAGCCCCCTCTAGCCCCGCCATATTTGAGGGGTTACGCGGGGCCGATGCTGGCAGTGTTAATTATAGGTTGACCAGACCCAAAGTCTAGTTGGTCTCCTTAGCAAATAGCCATTTTGCGCTAATAAACTCGATCCTCTGCTATTCCCGCGAAGCTGTAAATTTTATTTCGCCGGTGGGGCCAGGCGGGGCTGTCGTGTTGAACGTCTCACCAAAGCCCCTTCCACAGCCCCGCCAAGCCCCTTCATAGACCCCCATCAAGCCCCGCCATTTTAGATGGGACTAGGCGGGGCTAGGAGGGGCTGGTGCTGGCAGGGTATGGTCACTGAGTTGATTAGAACACGCGAATGGTTAAAAAAACCGAGTAACTCTCGTAGAAGATAAATCGGCATATCCTTGGAGGTAAAAGATAAATATCTACAGTGCATCATTTCCAGATACATAGGAAAAGTATATTAATTTCAGGGATGCAGCTTGACGCTAAAGACTTATTAATATTTATTAGCTAAGTTGAGAGACGTATTTTACCACACCTAGGAGGACGGATCTTAAAGATTCAATACGTCACGGAAATATGCAAATGTTGGCATAGTGAGCAGGTTGCTTACGATCCGGGAAATGTAGGTAGTGCTCACTGAGCAAAAGGGGGGAAGTAGGTGGGTAGACGAATCAACAGAGGACGAAGCAGTTAGTGAACATAATATTAGGTTTTCGACCAAAATCAACTGCGATCAAAGGACCAATTGTCTGATATTTGTCCTTACAAAGAACTGGATTGATGCTGATTAATCTTGGTTCATTGTACAGCTTAGCGAGAGTGACAGTGTCATCCTGCTGTAGGAATATTGCTTGTACGCTCAGCAAGTGGAGAAGATTGATGTTCGGTAAATTTTCTGGCGGAAAACTTTTGCTATCATGAGGGGTGAATTATCTGTG